CCTTTTACACATGGTAAATATGCTTGGGCAAGCAACATGGATTTAATTGAATTTTAATTCATATCTTTGTGTAAGGGTTGTCATCAATTACCAAAAAGTGGGAGATTGAAAGCTCTAGTTTGGTTTTGGTGAATTGATGAAACCCTAAGTGCTAACCTAGTTTATCAAGTGATCATGAGATAGGTAGCACATTCCAAGTGGTGAAGCAAATGAAGATCATAACATGATGATGATGCCATGATGATGATCAAGTGCTTGGACTTGGAAAGAAGAAAGAGAAAAACAAAAAGTTCAAGGCAAAGGTATAAACCATAGGAGATATTTTGTTTTGGTGATCAAGACACTTAGAGAGTGTGATCACATTTAGGTTTGATAGCCGTACTATTAAGAGGGGTGAAACGCGTATCGGAATGCGGTTATCAAAGTGCCACTAGATGCTCTAACTCATTGCATATGCATTTAGGATCTAGTGGAGTGCTAACACCCTTGAAAATGTTTGTGAAAATACGCTAACACATGTACACAAGGTGATACACTTGGTGGTTGGCACATTTGATCAAGGGTGGTGAAGTTTGGGAGCAAGGGTAAGAAACTCCACCCGGCGGAGTGTCCGCTTAGTAGAGTGTGGATAGTCCAAGCCGGTGCCACCGCGCGCCCTAGACAAAAGACGGAGGTCTTTGGAAGTGACCGGACGTTAACCTCGTTGGACCGGGCGCGTCCGGTCAGTGTAGCTGCGAAAGACGCTGGAGTCGGTCAAACGACCGGACGCTGGTCGCTCTGACGACATCAACTTGAAGGGTTGCGTCTGGTCGTGTTGCCGATCAAGCCTGATGAAGAAGTCCGCAGTGTGACCCGGATTTGGCGAGGTCCGGTCAAGCATGACCGGACGCGTCCGGTCGACAAAAATCGGTTTTGTAACCTTACTGTAAATGATCGGACGCTGGGTGTTCAGCGTCCGATCAACTCAGGAGCAGTGTCCGGTCAATGCAGATGACCATTGAAGTCGGGACACGTGGTCGACTATGATGACCGGAGCCGGGGCTCTGGGGGCCAACCACCGAAAGCATCGATCAACCGACCGGAGCATCCGGTCAGCCCACGTTATGCCCAGTGAAGGGGTATAACGGCTCTATTTCGTGGGGGTTGTATTTAAGCCCCATGGCCGGCTGTAGCTCACAACCTTTGGCCATTTTCATTGACATAGCAACCTTGTGAGCATAGCCAAAGCCCTCCCACTCATCTCCATCATTGAATCATCATCATAGTGAGATTGGGAGTGAATCCAAGTGCATTGCTTGAATGATTGCATCTAGAGGCACTTGGTGTTCGTGTTTTGCTGTGGATTTCGCTTGTTACTCTTGGTGGTTGCCGCCACCTAGACGGCTTGGAGCAGCGAGGATCGTTGAGCGGAGGGTGGTGATTGTCTCCGGCTCCGATCGTGGTGATTATAAGGGGTTCTTGACCTTTCCCTAGTGAAGCGCCAAAAGGTACTCTAGTGGATTGCTTGTGGCTTGTGTGATCCTCATCTTGTGTTGGTTGTGCGGCACCCTATTGAGGGTTTGGCGTGTGAAGCCAATTAGCGTGTGAACCTCTAAGTGAGTGAATCGCCACAAAGAGGAGTAGCTTGGCGGCAAGCAAGTGAACCTCGGTAAAAAACCATTATGTTCATCATTGATTCCGAGGTGATTGGTCTTCATTGTTATTCATCATTGTGATTGATTGGTTCCTTCATCTACACAGCGGTATAACCTTCTTGATCACTCTCTTTACATTACCGCAAACTAGTTGTCAAGCTTTTTAGTGTAGCTAGTTGTGAGAGCTTGCTTGCTTGGTTGGTGTGGCTCTTTAGTTAGCCTTTGAGAGCACATTAACATAGGGTAGTGTCATAGCTATTGTGTGAATAGATACTATCTAAACTAGAATTGTGATAGGTGGCTTGCATTTTGAGTAGGCTAGCGCAACACTTGTTTCGCCTCATAATTATCTAACCATTTTGTTAAGTGTTGTTGTAGAAATTTTTATTAGGCTATTCACCCCCCTAGCCATTAGGACCTTTCAGCCGCGCATACGCCGCTGGACTGCGCCTACATCACCCGGACCCATGCGGGGGCCACGCTGCCCGAACGTCGCCCGCGCAGGGACTGCTCGCGCCCCCTCCCACTTCCCACACGCATCCTATGTGCAACACCCCATCTACTTTTAAAACATTCAAATACAACACTTGCAACATATAAAAAAGACAAATGAAATATTCAAAACATGCATATGAAACAATTGAAAACCATTGCAAATATACGCAATATCTAGATAAAACACTTGCAATATGTGTAAAATATATGCAACATCCAGATAAACACACTTGTGACATACATCTGAAAAAACAAATAAAACATTGTGTCGGTGTTTCGAATAAACACCAATGAGTAAATTTGTGTTATTGTGCGTCTGACCCGGATGGTGTGCTAAAAAGACATAAAGTTTATACTGGTTCGGGCAGAATATCCCTACGTCCAGTTTGTGGCTGTTGCTCGTGTTATTAGCACTGAAAAGTTCGTAGCAGGGGTTACAAACGGGCGAGGGAAATGTCCCAAGTCTCTGATGGAAAGGTCTAATGGGTGCTGAGAACTTGGTCGCTGCTCAGCTATGTGTGATGTGATGCGTGGTGCCTTGAATCGATCCCTTAGTGGGGTGCCCTGCCGTCCCTTTTATAGGCCAAGGGAGAGCAGGGATTACGTATGGGAGAAAGAAGAAAAACCATAGACAAAGGAGGTCCTTCAAAGATACCGGGTATTTCTTTTCCTCTGTTCGAGCCCCGCTGACATGGCAGACGGTGCTAGGGATAGCCCCACGCTAGGAGCACATCCGCTGATCCTGTCATGTCCTGGCGTGGTCAGCAAGTTATCACGTCCCATCCCGCCCCGACGGGCGGCGCGGCGGACTAGGGCGCTGATCCGCGGCCATACAGGGAGCAGACAGTGTAGAGACCGCACGTCCGTTACTGTAGGTGGCATGAGTTTCCTCCTAGACCGTAGTGGTTGTCGTGAGCTTCCGTCAGGATCCACGCCCGTGGGCAAATGGCGGCGCCCACAACACTGTAAGACAAATGTCAGTGCCTACAACACTGTTCGGGCTCTGACATGCCTGAAAGGGCTTACAGTGCCCGTCTTGTCACATCCTGACGGTACTTTTCTACAGGCGTGCAGGGTATGGTCCTCGGTATTGTGGTTGACTTGAGTGCCCTGCCTTATCTGCGTGCGTAGTTATGAAGGAACAGCGCGCAGACGTCGGGCGAGGAGGAGCCTGCCCTCCGACGTCGGACAAAATGGAGCCCGCAGCCTTGGTGGTTTGGACGAGACGGTACCCACTGGGAAATGTAGTTGTGTTCTTGATCGCTCTGATGAATTAGCGCTCCTCTTCTCCGGGTACCCTACTTTTGGTCCCCAACACATTGGGGACAGACGATTGCAACATACGTGTACAACCATTGTAACATATGAAACATTTCGATCTACTTTTACAACATCCCTGTGAAACACTTGGAATATACATCTAAAATAACTGAAACATTTTAAATGTATGCTTGCAACATGCATCATATTTCAGTGTGGCCTCCTCCGCCTTCTGCATCGGGGGCTGCAGCCGTAGCAGGAGGTGAGGCCAAAGGGCTTCCGCACCAAGGCCCGACGCTTCTCCTTGCACTGGCGGCACCTGTCGACGTCGTCGGGTGGAGTGGCGGCGGAGCAGGAGCAACGGCAGGAGCAGCGGGTGCGAGCACACGGAGCAGCGGGTCGGACGCGCTAAGCAGCGGCAGGAGCAACGGGCACGGGAGCAGCTGTGGCAGGAGGAGCGGGGTGGGTGGCGGAGTGGGAGATGAATGAATTGATTGGATATTGCGGAGTGAGCGATGGATAAATTGACGGGATATATTAAACAAAGATTGTGTCACATTGCCTCACGCCCGCGTTTGTCCTGATACTCGAGTAAAGAGTCGGACGCTAATGCAAGAACTACCGTTTCGTCCAGAATCAAAAGAGCAATCATAATTGTTGGTTCGTTTCATTTTTCTTTTATTTATTTTGAAATGCAACAAGGAAATGCGCTCATACCTGCATCCTCTATTTGTCATTTTAGCAACAAACAAACAAACGAGGCACGGGCTAACAACGTGACACAGGGGTTCACGGTTTCAATTTGACAATTTGAATTTTTTTTTTTTGAAAAAAGACACTCGAAAGATGACACTTGGGTTGATGACAAATGGGTCCATCTGTATTTATAAATATGGATTCAGTGTCAAATCTGCAAACGACCGATGTTCGAGTCCTATTTTTTCAAATTGCAGACAATTTGTGATGCCGGCACATTAGCAAAACGCACCTTAAACCTTGGGCTATTAGAAAATGCACCCAGCCATCTTCCTCCCAAATCCTTTTTCCTCAGTCCCCCCACTTCCGACTCCTGAGCGAGACGCAAGAGGGGCGAGGGTTTAGAAGAAATTCCCCCATCTGAGTCCCACGCCGTCGTCGACGCCGATCCTCTCCGGCAGCCGGTACGTTCCCCAATCGCCGCATTTCTCAGTCCCTCTCTCTCGTGCGCATCCAGACCCTAACCTCACCTCATTCTCCGCAAAACTCCCAGCTTGCGGCGCTTCCCTTCCCCGCTCCCGGCGGCATGGACTGCGCAAAGGGGACGGCGGTGGCGGGCCTCAGCTGACTCAGTCCGAGACGCAACTCCTCAGTCCCCTCAGGCCTCAGCTGATTCCTGCCTTTCCTGAGGCGAGACGCAACAGGGGTGGGCCGCGAGGGTTTACTCCATCTGGGCAAATCCCCCGCCGGCTAGCACGGCCGCCGTTGACGCGGACCCTCTCCGGCAGCCGGTACGTTCCCCATTCGCCGCATTTCTCAGTCCCTGTCTCTCTCGTGCGGATCCATCTCCTAACCTCACCTGATTCTCCGCAAAACTCGCAGCTTGCGGCGCGACCCTTCCCCACTCCCGGTGGCATGGACTGCGCAAAGGGGACGGCGGTCGCTGGCCTCTACGACGACCTGATGGTGGACATCCTCTCGCGCGTGCCCGTCAAGGACGTCCGCCGGTCCAAGTGCGTGTCCAGACCCTGGCGCGACCTCATCGCCGACCCCCTCCACCGCAAGAAGCTGCCCCAGACCCTGGAAGGCTTCTTCACCAGCCTGGCACTGAGCATGACAGCTATGGGCACTTAACCAGCCTGTCCGGGGGGGGGCAGGAATCTGCTCCTCCAGTTGACCCTTCCTTCTCCTTCCTCACGGCGAGACTGTTGTCTGGGGTCGAGCGCATGGTCCTCTTGGATTCCTGCAACGGTCTCCTGCTCTTTGGGTGCACCCGGAGGACAAGTTCGGGTACATCGTGTGCAACCCTGCGACCGAGGAATTGGTGACTGTGCCCGCCAGCTCCGGCTCTTGTCCGCCTCTGCTTCCTCTACTGGAAGACAGCTATAAGAAAAGATGTGCACACACCTATCTGATGTTTGACCCGGTTGTCTCCTCGCGCTTCCACTTGGTCCAGATCTGGGAGAATAGGTCGCTGCGCCTCCACGCCGGCAGCGCCCGAGCTCGCCGCGGCGGGCCGCGGGCCGTGGGCCGCGCCCCCACGCTGGTTGGCGTGAGCTCACCGCCGCGTCTGGATCCGGCGGCCACGTTGCGCTTCTGCCGCGTCTGGATCCGCCATGAGCTCGAGCCCGCCCGCTGAGATTCGGCCGCGTTGTGCTTCACCTCGCCCTCGGTCGCTCGCTCCCGGCGTCCTCGAGGCAGATGGAAGCAATGGCGTGGATGTGGGACGAGGTCCGTCCCCTCGATTTGGAGGGACGGGGCTGACCTCGAATCAACGTGAATATTCGCTGGGGGGACGGTCCCGTCCTCTGTCGCCCCTGAACCAAACAGCACGAGAAGTGGAGTCGTCCCATCCCATCCTCGATGGTCCCTCCAACCAAACACATGGTTACTCATCTGAAACCAGGGCATGGAGTGACAGGTCAAGCAAGTGGGAACGAGGTGAAGAGGGCGGTGAATGGGGACTGTGGGGTGCAGCCATAATCGAATTCACGTGTGGCAGGGCTTTGGTCAATGGTCTGTTGCATTTTGTTGTCTACCATGTTGAGAAAGATGAGAATCTGATAGTTGCGGTGGATGGGGAAGGGAAAATTTGTACGACTATCTGCTGGCCTGGTAAGCTTGTGTCAGCACCTGCTTTATTTGGTCAATCCCAAGGTCATCTGCACTGCATAAGTAGTAATGTAAAATTCCAAGACTGCATTTTCCATTTCACGCAACTGTCAGTTTGGGTTCTTGAGGACTATGATACACAAGAATGGATTCTGAAGCACAATGTGAGCTGTTCACAGCTCTTTGGATCAATGAGTTGCCAAATAAACTTCGATATTGTGGCCATTCATCCAGATCACAATTCAATAATCCTTGCTCAGCACAGGAACCATAAACTGGTATCATATTACATGGATAGTAAGGAACTGCATGCTCACCGCAGTCTAGGAGGGGACTATCTGTTTATTACCCCGTATATTCCCTGTTTCATGGAGTTGCCGTTCTTGCCACCAAGGACTGAGGTTGTTGCTTGTGGGATACTTCTCTGAATGTTCAGCAAGAGCTTGATCTTCCAAGTATGGGCAACTAGCAGTGTGGGTAAATCTACGTATTAGGTGGTGCAAATTTGGATAAATCTATTATCATTAGGTTATCTATTCTGCTGGTGTTTTAATGTAACCCTTTTGTAATGCTGTAGACGCATTTCTTTGGTGCATCGGGCATGGTTGTTTTCGGTCTCATGCTTTTGGACTAGTTACCACATGCAGTTGGGAGATTTGCATGTAATGTAAGGTAGCTTTACATGTTCCTGTCATATTTAATGAATGCAGTTGACCAGCTTGTGATGATTTTCTTTAACTTAAAATTACATATTTCAAATGCTGCCTTTTGTGTTTCTAGGATTATAAGCAGAGTAAATATTTGGGTTTTTTTTTTTTTGCTTGACCTTGCAAGTAATGAGTTATTAGTAGATGTTATTTTTCGTTTCATCCATTTGTATGTGCTCATTTAAGCTGAGGGATTAAATCTTCCACGTGTTGCAAACAATGTGTGTATTACAAATGTTTAGGCTGATTCTTTTTTTTTTGTATCATATTAAGATCAAAAGCTGCCCAGTTCATGTTGATTACTTGATGTAACTGGTTTGGAGACCATATATTCTGTATGCTGCTAATCAATAGCTGAAGCTGATAATAACAGATTCTGTAGTTTGGACAGAGGGAAATAGAAGTTCTTGCGTGCCCATGCTGGTTGCTTGCGTCTTTTTTAGCCGCCCTGCATAAGACAAATGCATTATATTGAGCTATTTTTAAATCGTTGTTATAACAGTCAATAGTTGGGCTAGTACTTTTACAATAGTTTAGCCTACAGATGTAAGTGGATTTTTTTTTTCTTTCTCTTCTGTGCATGTGAAGGATAAAAATAATGGCATATAATGTTTATATTTGTCTTTACATGCATTCTATGTGCATGCAAGGTGGCTTTACATAAGTTATCTTAATGAAGTTGACCACCATTTGATGATTTTCTCTGAAGGCTTCAAGTTATATATTTGAACTGCTACCTTTTATGATTATAAGCGGTATAGATACTGCGTCCTTTTGCCTTGACCTTACAAGTGGTGAGTGATTACTAACTGTTATTTTTCATTTTATCTGTTAGTACTCCTTATAGTAAAAAAAAAAAGTATGACGTTTCAGAGATGCTAGTCAGTTTGTTTTGTGAATCATTTTCATGTCTGAAGTCTGAACGTTTTGTTATTCTGACTGGAGATAAGTATATGCTTTTTTAAGCTGAAGGAATAAATATACCGCTTTTCCCTATGTTGCAAACCCTTTGTGTATTGGAAATGTGTGAACTGAAATTTGTGAGATCAAAATCTGCCCGATTGATGCGATTACATGATACATCTAGTTTCCAAAACAAATATTCTGTACTAAACAGCAGCCGAAGCTGGTAATAAGAGATTTTGGAGTTCGGAAAGACACGAAGACCAGCTTGCTTGTTCATGCTGATTGCTTTCCATCTGTTTTGATCGCCCTGTGCAGGACAAGTTACTGTCAAAACTCAAAAGTCAAATCTTTGTTATAGCAGTCAATAGTTGAGCTAGTTCTTTTGCAATAACTTATGGAGTTATGTGTAATACAGATGTAAGTGAACGGGGGCGCATTTTTTTTCTTTCTTCTATCCTGCCAAATGTATGGCATATTGGCACCAAATGTTTTTTTTACTGCCTTGCATTGACAATTTACAATAATAATTTTAGCCAATCATTCTTGTGTTAATAAACAAAAATTGTATAAGCATGTTGCAAGCAACGATTTGTATGGGAATTTGAAACCAAAACCTCTGCCACATTAACCTTGTAAGCTTCGGAGTTCCTTACTATGGTGCTGAAGAATAAGTGGCACCATGTCCTAGGAGGACTTTGAGACAGCAGCTTTCTTGTGGACGCTCTAATTTACTACAATAGTATTGAGAGTATTACAAGCGGTGGGCAGTGAAGAATCATTTTTTCTATTTATTACATCAATCTGGTAAGTGACTGAGGATTAAGGAACTAACAAAAGAAAAACCGAATGACTCACGAAAGTATTGAGAGTATGGATTGTTATTAGCCACCAAATTCAGATGCATACCTCCAGCAGCTCTCCCTCCCAAAATATAAGGCATGATTTCACTGGATCCTCAACTGGCTCCAATTAGTAATCTTGATTTCACCCATTTGTATAGGCTCATTTAAGCTGAGGGATTAAATTTTCCACGTGTTGCAAACAATGTGATTCTTGATATTTTTTTAATGTACGTAACTGGGTGCTCTTGCACTTATAATCGATTGTGCTTTTACATTCTACTAAGTATATAGGACATAGCTCTGTAACTGGTGCTAAATTGATGGTTAATGTTAGTATTGCAGTAAACACTAATAGTCTATACAATCCATAACTCACACAACAAACAACCAATAAACCATGATGAATGACGGGCGGTTATCTTAATGTCAGTGGCTGACTTTCAATCACCAGGAGAGTCGCAGCACCAGCGGCAAGCAGGGCCAGCAAGGCCCGCGGCAGGGACGAAGACGACGAGCGGGTGGCAAACCAGGCCAGGCCAGCGTGGCTGCGACTGCGAGGAGACGAACACACCAAACCAAAGAGAGTGGTGATGTGGCACATCGGCTAGGATGAGACAGATCACAGATGTCTAAACATTCTAGGCCACGTTTAGATTGCAAAAAATTTCAACCTGATGAATAGTAACATTTTCGTCTTATTTGATAAATATTGTCCAATTATGGACCAACTAAGCTCAAAAGATTCATCTCGTGATTTCCAACTAAACTGTGCAATTAGTTATTTTTTTTACCTATATTTAATACTCCATGCAAACGGCTAAAAATTGATGTGATGGAGAGAGAGTGAAAAAACTTGGAATTTAGAGGTGATCTAAACAAGGCCCTAACTGGTATTTCATCAAACAAATTGTTAAGTGCAAACTGTCAAACATTCTCTTGCTTTGGTCGCAAACTCCATGGAATCCATCGTCGGACTCCATAAATCTGCAACGAACTCATCAGCCGGCGCACGGCGGCAATAGTCTTCGTCGCTCTCCGTTGCAGTCAACACCTCACCATCAGCACAAGCAAAATAATAAAATAAAGGCGTGGCCGTGGCTCCGTGTCTCGCTACGCGGGCGGAGGGCATGGTCGGCCCGGGACCCCCCAAGCAGCGCGCGGCGGCGGCGGCGCCCGGCCCCTGCGTCGTCCTGGACGACGCGCTGGTCGAGATGTTCGGCCTCCTCCCCGCCAACTCCCTCCACCGCTTCAAGTGCGTCTCCAAGGCCTGGTGCGGCCTCGTCACGGACCCCCTCCACTGCCAGCGGTACGCGCAGACGCTGGCGGGGTTCCCGGAGCTGTTCGGGGGGAGGTTCGCGTGCCAGTTCCGCGTCGAGTACAGCGTCGTCGCTGTTCATCCGGATGGGAACTGGGTGTTCTTTGTCCGGCACTGGGACCGCAAGCTGGTGGCGTACGACATGGATCGCAGGGAGGTCCGTGCTGTCGCTGATCTCGGTCCCAGTGGCGGCGATCTCGGCGATGAGCTTCCTGTTCCCTACTATGTTCCTCTGTACAAGGAGTCGGCAGCGCTGACGAATAGTAAGCAATGAAGGTGTTGGATTCAGACTACTCCAGGAATCCAGTTGGGATGTTTGAAAAGGATTGTCCTCTCAGGTTAGGTATACAGTCGCTAGGAAATTGGGAATATGTGCCCCTTCTGTGTCATCTCGTGCCGCCACTGATGAAATATCTGGTGAGTGACACTGACATTGATACTGAGTTTTCGTTTCTTCAGTTCTGCTCCAAGCTCGATGCTGTATTTTCCAACCATGCTTGGTGCAGCAGAATTCCCAAACTGAAAGCTTCTACGTAGTTTTTGGGGTCGATTTCCAGCGGTATTCAGAAGGTGTTTTTCAATGACTTGTATTCTGAAGATGGAAATATCGTACTAGTATTTGGTTGACTACAGGCAATTGTACTTGCTAGTCTGCAAATTGGTGAACAGAAACCGGCTGGGATCTGAATCTGATCTTCTGTCAAACGAATTGCCTTCGTGCTTGTGCTTGTGTCGACTATCCAGATGCGTTTTCTTTGGGCGGTGTTTGGACGTACGGTACGAGACGCATCTCTTTTGGGAGCTCTTTTGCAAATCCAATTTGAGTTGAAGAGAAATGGACTCATGGATTTGAGTCGAAGAGAATTAGATCGAACTTAGGTGGCACTGCACTGCAACTGAGTAACGTTGATGCTCTATAACGTTTTTTTTTTTTGTAGAAACCATCATTAGAAATATCCCGGGGTTATAACCCTGCATTTTTGTGATGGATAAGAAAAATCGTTTATAGAAAATGTGACAACGATAAAAGAAAAATGTTACAGACCAATGCAATGGAAATGTTGTGGACATGTTGTCCAAACTATATCTACACCATGTTTCAAATTAATATTTACATAATGTGACAGCCCATATAAAAACTACATTAAAAAAATGAGCTATGACTTATGTATATGATAGCTCCTGATTTTTCTTCGGGGTTTCCCTCCCGTATGCATGTAACTTCTCCTTGTGCATGTAATAAAATGTGCTTAAATGAAAATAAGATAAATCCCCAAAATATTCTATCCAGGTTTCTTGGGGACGAATTTGAAATTGCCATGATTTTTAGATATCATGTTTAAGTGGTGAATTCAAATGAGTTCCAGTTCTCAATCCTTAAAACAAATCTAAAATTGTTTTTCTCCCTCCGTTCTCCTCTCTGGGCCGGCCCAACTCTAAACTTCTGCCCTTTCTCTCGTTTCTTGGCCGCACCTCATCAATGGCCCGAGTTTTCCACCATCGACAAACAAAGCCCATGACGTATTTGTCCAATTCGTTTTTTACTTTTTCGAATTAAACTGGCCCATGACCCAATAGCCAACATTGTATAATGATGACTGCAAATATTTATAATTTAATCTTATAAAAGGGTTTATGCTAAACTCATCGAAAATAGATTGTCTTTGGTACCTACGCTCTTGTGGGTTTAGAAGTTTAGAACCTGTCCATGAGACTCTTTATATCTTTGCTAATTTACAGGAATAGAGATTTGATAAAAAAAATACCCTCCAACAGTCTCTTCAACTGGATATCAAATATAGGTATCCTCTATTCCAGATTTCTCGCTAGCCAAAAATGAAGAGCAAGAAAGACTATCTAGACTACAGACAAGATATATAGAAAAGCTGTTGGAGAATACAAAGATATAGAAAACGACTTTTACTCAAATGACTCTCGAAATGATGATTTAGAGAGTACATTTTAGAAAGACTCTTGGAGATGCTCTAGTCCCTTATATTTGAAGCTAGGAAAAAGATAAGACCTTTTCTATCTAATAAGCAGAAATATATGCCAATTTGAATCAATCACATGTACTGCCATGATCCCTAATAATGCAGTTAAGATTGCACCGGACATGTTCTGATCGAAATTGGACATTCTGTTTTCATGAGTGCTATATTAGTGTTTACTTGACAAAGTAACGAAATGATAAAGAGAGAACACATAAGTTTCATATAGATGAAACTACTTGAGTAGTTTCCAATGCAAATGCAAACTTATATTGCGTAGGAAGGCCTCATTTGGAATAAAAGCAAAAAATTGAAGGAATTCTAGAGCATTTAAATCATATAGGAAAATATCCTATGAACTCCCTTTGGAACAAAGAATCATGTTCCTATAAATGGAATGGCTTGTTTCGTAGAAATTTTAGAGAAATTTTACCAAGAGATCGAACCTCATGAAAAAATTCCTTGGTATCTTTCGCTCATCGAATTCTTATACTTTTTTTGCGTTCCATCCAAACATTCAATCTTATGTTTTCCCGTGTTTTCTTGATTAATAGGATTCAAGATGTTAGGACAATCTATTCATTCATTTTTTTCTATTTCTATGTTTCTAGAATTCTACATTCCAAAGATGTCTGAAAACAATAGAAACAAAAAAAAAGAAACAAAGAAAAACATTAGACATGACTACTCCCTCCGTCCATAAAAGAATGCAATTCTCACTTTTCGGGAAATCAAATAGTTCAAACTTTGACTAAATTTATATAAAAATACTAACATTTTTTATATAAAATAAGTATCATTAGATTAGTTATAGAATATATTTTTATAATAAATTTATTTGGATACATAAATGTTAATACTATTTACTATAAACTTGGACAACTTGAGTCAGTTTGACTGACACGCATCCCATAATTACATTATTTTGTGGACGGATGGAGTGTTTTATATAGTCAATTAAATGCTATCTTCCCCACCAAAAAATAAATAAATTAAATGCTATCTTGCACTCGTGGCACTCTTTTTTTGACCAAGCGCATGTGACACTCTTGAAAAGCACCAATTTTAAATTTCCCTTTCGAATTGGCTGAAAACATATCAGGGCCGTGGTTAGTTGCCCAGAATTTGCACCGCCCGAAATACTGTAGCAACACTGTAGCAACAGTGTCGTTTTGTTTTTATTTGGTAATAATTGTCCAATCGTTGACTAATTAGGCTCAAAACGTTTGTATCATAAAGTACAACCAAACTGTGTAATTAGTTTTTGATTTCGTCAACATTTAATACTCCATGCATGTGTCAAAGATTTGATGTGATGTGATGTGATAGAGAATCTTACACTGTGCAAATTTTAGAGATGCAAAATTGATGCAACTAAACAAGGCCCAGGACATATGTCTTTTGGCGTTTCTTTCTTTTTTGCCTATATATTGTCCGAATGTTAGCACGGTGTGTGCCGATAAAGACTCCACAATACCCGAGATGGAACCGTTAGTACAAGGAAAAAGAAAAGAAAGAGGACCATTTTTAATCAGGCACGTACCAGAGTACCTTTTCCGAATTTATCTTCAGCTACGGTACTTAGGCCTGGTTTAGATTGTAAATTTTTGCAACCTGGATACTGTAGCATATTTTGTTTGTATTTGACAAATTTTGTTCGATTATGGATTAACTAGGTTCAAAAGATCCATCTTGTGATTTACAACCAAATTGTATAATTAGTTATTTTTTTACCTACATTTAATGCTCTATACATACGTCTAAAAATTAATATGATGGAGAGAGAGTGAAAAAACTTGAAATTTAGAGGTGATCTAAACGAGACCGAAAATAAAAACTAACAAAAGGGCAAAATAAAATAAAAAATAAAAAGGACAATTAAAAAAAATCCCCATCCGACGACACGTGCTAGTAGCTTGCGGCCCGTCCCCCAGATAAATAGGACGCTCCAGATACCTCCCTTCCCTTCCCATCCCATCCCATCCCATCGTCTCTTCCGCATCGCCCTTCTTCTCTCTAAACCCTAGCCGCCGCGCGCCTCGATCCGAGCAACCCTAGGTCTCCGCGCGAGGTGAGCCTGAGGCGCCACCCCTCCCCGCCTCGTCTTGTCGCGACGCGATTCGTGCTGTTGCGCTGCGCGGATCGCTGCGGAATCTCGGTTTTCCTGATCGATGCGATTTACCTGCTGGTTTGCCGTGCAGGTGGTTCTGATTGACTTGGCCCCAAGATGGCGGAGGACAAGGTGGGGCGGATCTTCGTCGGCGGGCTGTCCTGGGACACCACGGAGCGCACGCTCGAGCGCACCTTCGGCCAGTACGGCAAGGTCATCGAGGCTCAGGTACAGCGACGGCTCTCCCTGCCGTGATGCTTGTGATTTGAGGGGATTGGAGTTAGTTTATTAGTTGGGGGTCTCCTGTTTTAGTGTGGATGTGCTCTCCCTAAATATAGGGAGTCATTTACCCTAAAAAAATATAGGGAGTCATAGAATAAGGTTGTTTTTGGGGATTACCCTGTTATATGGATCACTTTTTATCCTACCTGGTTGCATGATAGTGTGATGCAGTAGGCGCAGAAATAAATGGTAGTTTGCTGCAGTTATAATTTTTCATATACCTTAGCAAATGATACAATTTTTTTTGTGACACGGAAAGATTACACACTTGAAGAATATTTTGTGTTTGATCTGGGGGAAAACAGATGATTAAACTGCTTGTTAACTGTTGTAACTTGGGCATGTTTAATTTGGTTACCAGGAACCATAGAGTTTTCTTGAATTGTTACTAGCTGTCTGTTGTCACCATTCTGATTATGTTTCCACCATTCCTAGTTATAGGTCACTGAAATGTGTCTCATGACTTTAGTAAAGTTATAATTATTATACGTAATGTGCATTGTAAGTTAATAATGGCAATCCCTTGCAGTGAAGGCATACGTTACTATGTTGTTGTTTGTATCAAGGGACATTTGAACCTCATGGTTAAGTTGAAATTTTTTGATAACCACAGTAATGGCCAAAATAATTTATATATCATAAACTGGAACAAGTCATGTTTCTTATTTGTGTATGTTAGGGCTTGTTTTTTCTCCCCCTTTTAGTCTTACAATTTCAATCTAATAGCAGCCGATGATTCACAGAGGCTGCAGTCACTTCCATTTCTATATGTTAGGAAGTAAGCAAAGTTGCAGGAAAAGAAATTCACTAATCAATTGAGCTCGCTGGTTAGCATTTTTATGTGATGGGTTCAGTAAAAATCAATTGGAGGCATACACACTGTTAGATTCAGTTTTGCTAGATGTGCTCTGTTTTGTGGACAGAACCAGACACCTGTTTTTGCCATGTTAGTACTTAAGATAACTGCTGCCAGCTTTAGATCACAGAAAAGAATCGTCACTGGCATGGTTAATGAACTCCACAGAAGTAAACATGGTTGCCAGTGCTGGACTGAACTTGTGGCAAAATTTGGTTGCATCATTCTTCTGGATCAGTTTGATAAGGCAGAGAAACCATTTGTCCTTTCAGTAGCGAGGCAGCAATGGTGATGCTGAAGAGTGTTGTATGCTCATCTGTGCCTGCATCTGCTTCGAAGTCCATTGTGCATTTCCCATTGCAATGGAAATGTTTAGTTCTTCATACAAAAGAAAAGCCAGGATTAAAAAAAATTCATTTAGACTTTCGGATTATGTTTTTCTGATTCTGAAGGATATGGCAGGGTAACTAAAATCTACCTGGTCATGTTATAGTTCACCTCTTAGTTTTGTGCCCATACAACTTCCCAAAAGTAATTGGTCTCTGTTCAGTTTTCTGGATTGGATACTGGTTCTTGCAGCACATGGTCCTCACCTGGAAGTGTTCAGACTCATCAATGTCGTCTGTGGTCACATGCTAGATTCTTCGGTTCTGACTTCTGACCTTTGGCCGTAATCATTAATGTTCTTAACCAGTGGATGGTCAAAGCAGATTTTGATTTGCATACAATATTTGAGCTGTGGCATTTGGATTGACTGTTAACTCTTGTACAGTTGGGATGATTTCACTGGTTTTGCACAATGTTCATTAGCTGTTTGATTTCATACATCACCCTAATTTGCATGCTGTTCCTATTGATAGAATTTTTGGTTGCTCACTATTATATATAGTTTCTATCTTCCCATTGGTTCATTTTCATTGTATGTATAGGTTGTAGTGGAAAGGGAGACAGGCCGCTCGAGGGGATTTGGATTTGTCACATTTTCAGAACCTCGGGCTGTGGATGCTGCCATTCGGGGAATGCATAATGGAGAACTGGATGGCCGTAATATTTCTGTGAACAAAGCTCAACCTAGGAACTCTGATGATGGTTATGGATATGGTGGTGGTGGTGGTGGTGGTTACTCGTCTGGTGCTAGAGGTGGATATCGTAGTGGAGGTGATGTAGTTCCAGCAGCAAGTGATGATTGTTTCAAATGTGGCCGCCCTGGACATTGGGCTCGTGAATGCCCTTATTCAGATGGAAGTGGTAGAAGTGGAAGGTATTCTCCCGCTTCAAGGTATGGTGGTGGTACTGGGGGACGTGGTGACCGCTTTGGAGGATCAGATCGTTTTGCTCGCTATGATGATGATCGATATGATGGTGGCCGCTATGTAGACAGCAAGGATACTTATTATGGTGCTGGGCGTGATCGTTATGCTAGTGATCGCTATGCGCCAGCAGCAGACCGCTATTCTGGTGACAGGTACAGTGGTGCAGATCATTATGCGTCCAGTGGCTTTGCCAGAGAAAGGAGCTATGAGAGAGATGTAGGGAGGTCCAATGGAGGTTACTACCGTGATGATCCGAGGGGCACTGGTGGCTATGGCAGAGGTGGTTCACGTGTCGGTGGCAGCGGCGGCGGTGGCGGTGGGCCTGCTCGCTTTGGTGGGAGTTACCGAGATAGGCCTGCTCCATATGACCGTCCAAGCAGGGGAGGGGCAGCTCGTGCTTTCGATGATCGTTACTGAAGAATGATTCCTTGAATCAGAACAGAGATATCTGTTTATTTCAGTTATGCATCAGTATTTACATTTGCCAGGTTGATCCTTAAATTAGTTATTCAGCAGTGCAGTTTGTTTTATTAGTCTCTGAAGACAATGGTTCAGTATGTGAGCTATTAGTATGTTGGTACCATAATCTGTAGGGCAGTGTGATCCTGGTTCATTCGGCATGTTTGTGTAATTACTTTGGAGTCTGCACTAAATAATGAACTTATTGCAGTGTGTGATCTTTGAATTAGACTTGTTCTGCTTACTGAGACAGCCGTGCCACATTTTGCATTGTGGATGAACTTTCACACCAATAATGCTGAGATGTGCTGTGCGGCAGTGTGAAGATCTGTGGAAATGAATGTTTGCTCTGATATTTATTTGCCGGGCAATCTTCAATTTGTTCAGGTCTTGATGCTATTGGGTTTGTCGGTCTAAAATCAGAAACGTGTGATTCTGCATGTAGTCTGGGTTGAGTAAGATGGTGAGAATGTGAAGCTCAGAAAGCTGTGGTTTATGCTGGCAGGTGATGATTTGTTGTGATACTTTTCTGCTGCAGATGAATGCCTTCTGTTCAAATTTACTAGCGATGTCTGGTGCAGATCTGCAGATGCATCTGGCTTGTTTGCTTTGTTTTCTAGCTTACAGCTTCTTCCCGTGGTGAAAAGTAATCAGTTCCGATGTTGGTGGCAGATCTGCAGATGCATCTGGCTTGTTTGCTTCTTCTCGTGGTGAAAAGTAATCAGTTCCGACTGAACTTCCTGCGTTTCAGATCCTGTTATAAATATGCAACACAAAGTTTATGCTGGGTCCAATGTAGTTTCGAGTTGCCCTGGAAATAGTTCTGTTGCTTGTTCCATGTTCTTAAAATTTTCTTTGAATGACTGTTGTTCGTTGAAGATCATGGTTAAATCTAATTGGGTGCCACTGATTATTCATTGAGGATGTATTAGTTAGGACACAAAGGAGAACGATGTGTTCACCATATAATCCATGGTCCCCCGTGCTTTTAACAGAAACTGAACACGGCTGGAAGTTAGTATTGAAGTGCTCAAGTAAAATACGTTTTTTTTGTCGATATTGTCCGCACACAGCACAACAAACGCCTAACTGGTATGGTCTTTTACTGAATTCCGCGGGAAAGTAACGATAACGATTTCCCCCCTGGATTCCCTGTAAAGTACCGATTTTCTCCCTGAAATTCTCCGTTCCGTTGTTCCCATACCACCCATGTCCTACAGAGCCACATCACTTTCAAACTTCGGATGCTTGCCAATTGGAGCTAGCAGATGCCATCCTGATGAGCAAGGTTTATATGCTGTAATTTATTCTCTCTAGTGGACATCTTTATATGCTAGCAGATGCTATCCTGAATTATACAGACAGCATTCGAATTATGATGTCCTGCGAATTCTGAAAGTTTTGAGTGACAAGTGAAACGAGGAATGATGTCCTGCGAATTTTGAAAGTCTTGAGTGACGAGTGAAACGAGGAATATGATCATGCATATACCTAGACCTAGGATGCTAGGACAGCCTGCTGAAGAACTACAACAGCCTGCAGGCCACCATTCTTTCTCTAGGTGACATCAGATCCTACCTGGTCATTGTTTCAAAAAAAATATCCTACCTGGTCTGACCAGGTGACATCAGATCCCAGCTGAATCACGACGTCGGGCGCACGCCGATAAGCATGTTCGCCTCAACTATTCGCATTGCCTCTGCTCAGCCCATTCAAGCATCAAGCAGCTCTGGACCTCCGGTCAGCAACGAACTCCTTTACTAGTTACAGGGTCCTAACCTGCGGGTGACAGGAGCAGTGTGATTTGACATAAACCGATTAGGAGTAGGGGAGAAAATAATTGTTTGGAAATCACTCCTTTGAAGACACAGGATAACAGAGTACCTTTAGCTACAGCACAGACTGCGGTAGAACCTTGTATAGGGGTTAAGGATTGACTTGGGGTCCAGCAACTTCTTGATGGAGGCAATTAGTTGCACCTAATAAAAAACCAGAACATTACTTGGGCAAGGCAACTTGAAAGATCCTGCATAACTAGAGTTACTGGTAAATTACTACTAGAAATGTTGACCAATCAATACAAACATCTACATTGTTCTTGAAACAAAATTTCGCATTACCACATTGCAAAGTTCAAATGCACGCCAAGGGTGAAGTTCTTTGCTTGGCTAATTCTTGTTGACAGGTTGAATACCAAGACGATGCTAAGAAGAAGAAACCTTCATGCCGAGGATGAAGTCCAGTGCGTTATGTGCATTTCAGGGGCAGACGAGGACCTAGATCATTTATTCTTCCAACTGCTCCTTTGCCAAGAGTTGCTGGGAGAAGATTGGCATACACTGGAACACAAGCCTCGGTTTAAATTCGCGTCTGGCCCATGCCAAGCAGCAGCAGAACATACCGTTTTTCATGGAAGTGGTGATTATTGCAGCCTGGGAGATTTGGAAGATCAGGAATGATAGAATCTTCAGGAATGGTAGTACACATGTTGATAGCTGGTTTAGAAATTTTAAAAATCAGTGCCTCCTGCAGTCCCTACGTTTTAGTGATGACCTGAGGTCTTCCTTTTGTTTTTGGCTAGATGCATACAGTTAAGCTGTTTGTAAGTCCTCCTTTGTAACTCTTTAAAATTTATAAAATGAAGTGCTGTGGGGATCTCTCCCACAATTTTTGCCTTCAAAAAAGAAAACATTACAAAGTTCAATGCAAACCACATTTTCGGTGGAATCGTGAAAATCTCCTAGAAAAACATACTTAGGAGTTTAGGACTTAAAAAAATTTAAAAAATTGAAACCATGCACATCCATAAGGCATCTATAGATGTTCATTGCCCCAAATTTAAGATTCAAACTCCTTTTGTAAAAAATTCATACGAGATAATAAATTTCAGGTGCATACTATGCACTAAGACAAATGTTGGAATCTGGCCGGCCTGCACAGGCAAGCAGCACCTTGCTCACACCCTCACAACTCACGGCTGTAGACAGAAGATGAGCTTGAGAACAGAACACACACAAGGAAAATGCTGCTGCTGCAGCACGCTAGTGCTGCCGCTGTGAACTGAACTACTTGTTGCATTACCATGGTTGCATATTTATACATAGAGGGGTAGGTCCAGTTTGTGTGTGAACTGGAACCAGTGAAGGTGTGCTGCTGTGCTGCAGTAAAAAAAAAAACCCTACTGTCCTAGCTGCAGGATAAGCCTACAAAACTTAGTAGCTAAGGGACACTACTAGCCTACCAAAAGTCTGTCCCCACTACACTTCTAGTCTAGTGTCCTCACTACGGCTTGACTGCTATTCAGCCTTTGAAAGTTGTCTATTAGTAAGTTGGTACCATAATCTGTAGGCAGTGATCCTGGTCCATTCGGCATGTTTGTGTAATTACTTTGGAGTTTGCACTAAATAATGAACTTACGCAGTATGTGATCTTTGAATTAGCCTGCTGTTCTGCTTGCCGAGACAGCTGTGCCACATTTTGCATTGTGGATGAACTTTGCACCAACAAGGCAATAATGCTTGAGATGTGCTGTGCGGCAATGTGAAGATCTGTGGAAATGGATGTTTGCTCTGATATTTATTTGCCGAGCAATCTTCAATTTGTTCAGCTCTTGATGCTATTGCGTTTGTCTGTCTAAAATCAGAAAGGTGTAATTCTGCGTGTAGTCTGGGTTGAGTAAGATAAGATGAGAATGTTAAGCTCAGAGAGCTGTGGTTTATGCAGGCAGCTGATGGTTTGTTGTGATATTTTCCTGCTGCAGATAAATGCATTTGTTCTATTCAAATTTACTAGCCATGCCTAGGGCAGATCTGCAGATGCATCTGGCTTGTTTGCTTGTTTCTGGCTTACAGCTGCTTCCCATGGTGAAAAGATGTTCCGACTGAACTTCCTGCGTTTCAGATTCCGTGACAAATATGCAACACATCAAGTTCATGCCGTGTCCAATGTTGCGAGTTGCCCTGGAAATAGTTCTGTTGCTTGTTCCATTTTTTAAAATTTTATTTGAAGCGGAAGGGCTGTTAATCGTTGAAGATGAAGATTATGGCGGCATGTTCACGGTTAAATCCAATTGGTGCCACTGATTATTCATTGAGGATGAATTGCACACAGAAGAGGACGACGTGTTCACCAGACAAGCCTATGAGCTCCCGTCCTTTTAGCAGGCTGAATATGCATGGTCATTCCTCATTTAACTTGCCACTTGAACTCGAGAATATCGTAATTCGAATGCTGTCAGTACAATTCAGGACAACATCTAATAGCATACAAGATGTCCACAACAGAGAATAAATTGCAGCATATGAACCTTGCTCATCAGGATGACATCTGCTAGCTCCAATTAGTTAGGCCAGTCTTAATATTAATTTTATGTGATTTTTATCTGTATTTAATTAATAGGCTGTCACGTAGACATTTTTTATGACTGGTAACGTATTTAAGAAAAGAGATTGAATATCTATAAAACAATACTGGCAAAATTATGTTGAGGATGGATGTTTCATTCATATTTTATTTCATTTTACATGATGTGACATTTTTGGGGAAAACGCTAGCTGGCAGGCATGATGGTGTGTGGCGCGCTCCAAAACTAGCAAAAAAAAGTCTCCTACGTCTTAATCTATATTCAACAACTTGCCATTTTGAGTTTTTCACCAACAGAGAAGACTTGGAAAGTCAACTCTCGACTTATTTCAGCTAACTCTCAACGCCGTGAAGTTGAGGGAGATTTCCTTTTTTTTGGTAACCTAGTGGGACCATCAGAGCAGTAACCACAGCATGCCTCCCATGTTCGCCTCAATTATTGGTTTTGCCTCTGCCCAGCTCAAGCATCAAGCAGCTCTACTCAGCCACAGCCACAAGCTCAGCAAGTTAGGTCCTAACCTGCAGGTGGTGGAAGCAGTGGGGTTTGACATAAACCGATTAGTTTCATAAATTAAGAGAAAACATTAGTTTGGAAGTCACTCTATTTTATTAAACCATAGGATAAGAGAGTACCTTCAGCTACAGTACTGACTGCGGCAGAACCTTGTAGGGGTTCAGGATCGAATTGGGGTCCAGCAACTTCTTGATGGAGGCCATTAGTTGCACCTAATGAAAACAGAACATTAGTTGGGCAAGGCAGCTCGAATTATCCTGCGTAGCTAGAGTTACTAGTGATGTACTACAAACACTAACCAATCGATACAAACATGTGCATTGTTCTTAAAGTAAAACCGCGCATTAGCTCATTGCTTGTATTTAGCTACTGGGATAGTTAAAAACAGTTCTGACCACTGAGCTATGCCACATGTGGGACGGCTAATAGACTAATCAAAGTAGGAAGGACCTAAGCATCTCCCGACTCCCATAAAAGCACATTGTACCGTTCTATAATAATGTACAAAAGAGTGCAAAAAATAAGGTGGTGCACACAAGCCTTGGTGTGTGCAGATATTCATATGACCTATCTAATAAGTTTTGCCAAGCAAAAAGGTAGCTTGAATGCACAAGCAAAGTAGCAATTCAATCGATGAAGTCTACAGCTCAGTATGATTGGTCATTTCCTAACTCATAATGTACATGCTTCGTGCAAGTGGTGGTAGGACAATGGAAAACTTACTGCTTCAGGTGATTTACTGTAGTGAATCTTCTCAGCTTTCATTAGCCCCAAACCATGCTCTGCACTGATGCTTCCTCTTTGTGCTGAAGTCCATTCATAGACAAATGGTTCAATTCGTCCAAGAGTCTAAAATTCCATTGGAAAAACAAGATAAGGTTATCCATTAATCATCTCAAGACACTGAAGCATTCAATAAGTAAACAATCTACATCCAACTTCCAAGTTATATCCAAATTGATATAAAAAAACATACATTGTCGTCATATTTGCTTGATACAATGTTCAAATGCAGATTCCCATCTCCAAGGTGGCCATAGCCCAATACCTCTGCGCTATCACCTAGAAAACCAACATACTAAGTTAACTGGAAGCCCATAGATTTTTTGTAGATCAAGTCTCGCAATTACCAAGACGGCAGCGCATTTCTTCAACAATATCATAGAGCTTCTCTACAGGTATGGACAAGTCATATTTATACACAGCACCAACTTTGACAGATGCTTCTGATATACCCTGCATGAACAACAACAGAAGCAGAATCTTAAGATTTATCGCTACATGGTCCATCATTTTGTGCATTTGAAAGTTGGTCTGTGTCACGCCGACAACAACAGTCTGGCACTTGAAGCTTTAGGTTTGAAGGATTTAACTGGAAAAACCAAACCGCATGTTCCAAAGAAAAAAAATATATAGTTCATCTTATTTCAAATCAGACATTGAATCATTTTGTAATCCGTAAACATGAGCATCTGTGTTAAATGTTAGCTACTACATGCCAGTACAGTTTGATACTGATGGTTGACAAGTTTCAGCACAGACATAACATTCATCAGTCAACATTAAGGTATAACCGTATAAGAGATAAACAGAGTATTGATTATAGGATGACAACCTCACGGATCCGCTAAAAGTTTGTTGCTTGGCTGATATCCCTTGCGATAACACCATCAGCTACTAGACCATCTTCCATTGAACGCAACAAAAATGCTTCCAGTTTTGTTCTACAAAAGAAAGCCAGAAAAAAGACATGATGAGAAACTACAATAGTTTTAAGCACAAGATACACAGATGAACAGCCTAATCTCAGTAACTGCAAGTTGGCATGATAATTGATCTTCCCCAGAGCAATTGTCAATTTTCTCTCAAGCATATGCCAATAAGATAATGTCAATTGACAGGTCACAGAATAAATATGTTTCAGACGAAAACATGCTACAGAAATCATCATCTATTCATCTAGTCCATATCCATAAAGGACAACAATTTCTTTTGTGCTATTATTTTTCACCAAAGTAATGTCAAAATATAGAAAATCAGTACAAAGATAGAAAGCTTCATGGAAGCAGAAACTTTTTTACTATGTGATAAATCTCATGAATAAAAAAAAAGTGAAATAGGTATTACATTCTCTCTAATTAGCAATAGTCACAGATAAATCAGAATCAAAGGGCAACAGTAATAACCTCTACTGTCATAAACATCGACAAATGATCATTGTTGAATCATGTTCTATTTCTACAATAACTTACTTGTCATATGATTCATCACTTCCTGTTGTCTCAATTAAAACATAAAATTTGTACGGTGATGCAGGTAACGGATTGTGAACTCCTTCCACATGTCGCATAGCCTCCAGAATAAACGATCTATCAAAAAACAATCTAAATATGCAAAGCAGACAATATAATGAAATATTTCATTGTATATAGGAGCACCTTAGAAAATCAAGTTCTTTTCAAGGGCTTATTGATGTATAAGAATATCAAAGGCATATTTCATCGCATCAAACTGATCAACCTAGCAAGGGATTCACAATTTCATCCCCTGTTCTAAATGTCAGCCTGTGTCATAAAGCTGGGTCTAATGTGGGGCAAAGTTGAGGAAGGTCCAATTTAGTTATTAGCTTAGATATTAAAATGATGATAAATAACAAATTTGTGGGTCTTAATTCACTCTATGATGCATAACTTAATTCAAAAAGAATTTCATATGTAAGTACCAGATCAATACAGTGATGATCCATGAATTCAAATGCAGACAAGATCTCACCCAAGCTCCTCCTTGCTGCCAGAAGTAATTTCTGGGAACACGATCAGTAAACAGTAATCACTATTGAAGACCTCATGCATAGAAAGATTGAATAAATTTACTTTTGTAAAAAAAAAAGTAGAGAATGCCAAGGCAAATGAACCTGACAGCTTTTGTAGTCATTGCAGGAAAGAAATGCAACATTAGTTGATGGTAGCTTTGCAGGCGTAAGTACTGATATTTTGGTGACTACTCCTAGTGAGCCTTCGCTTCCTGAACGATAAGTTGTGTATTCACTAACTGTTTGGTGTTGCAAAAATAATACTGCTTTCACAGTGGTCATGGAGTAGTTATCACGCTCAGTACATACCAATAAATAAGTGCTTCAAATCATACCCAGTATTGTCTTTCCTTAAAGTAGTAAGCATATCAAGGATAGTCCCATCAGCCAGGACAACTTCAAGACCTGTATGGGAACAAACATAATTTAAAAGGAAAGTACAGATCCCTGAGAGTTTAGATACATGTATATTGTGTTAAAATTATAATTATAAGATCAATACGTGTACCTACCGAGTACACTTCCATGAAGTGAACCATAGCGTATGAAACGCAGGCCACCGGCATTAGTTGAAATATTCCCACCAATGTGGCAACTACCTTTTGCTCCCAAGTCAAGTGGCATAATAAACCTGAGAAGCAGATCAAGACCAATTAGGCTTCCAGCATGGAAACCAAAGAATTGGTGTTCCCTAAAGGGTAGCTCATGATTGTAAATTCTTTTGTTCAGAAAATGGAGATAAACAAATTTAGTCAAGATTTTTCAGTATGTATGCACCATAGGAAGTTACAGACTTTATGTAGGCCTATTGGGTGGCAAAAAAAGGATCTTATAAGAACTGAACTAAAAGGAATGAAAAATGTTCTGGGACCTGTCACAATCATTAGCGATTCCACAAGCAAGAACAGATGAGTATGAGACCTTTATTGATGACTCAATACTTAACACACTATCTGTGAATAAAGCATAGTAGCATATCCAGCAGACCAGCACAAGCCTTTGGAATAGAAATCAGAACAAACATCTAGGGAAAAACTGCGAAATATAACTTTACCCTTCATTTTCCACGAGCTTACTTAAATTCTCCAACACACAACCAGCTTCAGAAGTAAGAATACCATTTACCTAGCAACACCATAATAAGCAGACTTAGAAGTTGGCACCTTCTTTGTAAACTATTCAAGGATTTCTCGTGACCCTTGGATGCATTTGAAGAAGCAACTAATGAGAATACAACAAAATACAAGGTACTGAACCAGGCAAAAGAAATTGAACTCACATTATCAAAGGAAATGATTTTGTCCATGCCTGCGAGGCCAACAATCACCTGCAGACAAGGGCATAAAACATTAATCAGTGATCTTGGACATCAACATTATGAACAGTAAAAACTACAAATGCAGAACCACTGCATAGATAACAAAACTAATTTGACACATCAATAAGCATAAGAATAGAAAATATGGGAGAAATGTTAAAAAAATAATAATAAATACTAAAGATAACATTAAGCATAACACTGAAATTGAACAAGGTCTATGTGATCTTTTTCCCATATTTCACAATTTATCTCGTGTTCTTGTCAGTCCATATAAACATATAGCCCACATATTTGCAGCAAAATAGCTCAGCCTTTTCTAGTTAACAGCAAAGAAAAGTTGTTATGATTTGCATAAACAATAGGACGGATCCTAGCGAAAAATGAATATTATTCCAACATTTCATTCCTGGCACAGATTAAAAAACTTTAGAAATACAATTACCTCATCATAAACAGGCACACTGCCACCTACAAGACCTGTGTTGCCACCCTGTGGAACCACAGCCAATCGTCTGGTGTTGCAATATGAAAGAATCTTAGAAACCTGGAAACAGAATGTTTGAATAAAGAATTTGCACACTAATTCTTTTCTTGTGTCTGAACAAGAATAGCAGTGATTAAAAAAATCTTCATGACAAAGAAAATGTGAACCACTTAAAGAACCAGCATAAGATATGTTATTTGCATGGATTTGATAACACCATGGTATATGCAAAAGAGCGATTTCAGAAATTTAGAAAATTAATGATCATTGAGGAAATTACACATTGTACACAAAGTCTGAACAACACTAATAAAGTAATAAACTATGTTAAAATGATGGTAACTACTTAGTTATTCAAGAAAATAAATGCTCACTAAATTGGCTGATGAAATACCTCTGTAGTATTTTTTGGTAAAAGTAATAGCTGACTTGCACCCCTGTATTTACCCATCCAATCTACATTTGCAACTGCGACTCTGTCTTCATCCTGAACTACACCATTTTCACCCAAGACACTCTTGAAGTAAGAAACATCATCAGAGTTCAGCTCTGAATAGGCTGGATTCCTCTGAATGTGTGTTGCAGCAGAACCAAATGTGCGCTTCTGAACTTCACAAGCCTTGTTAGCACTGCTTTGACCTTCATATATTCCCCCACTAGTTGTAGGTCCACACAGAGGGCGCTGTAGACTGGGAATCCAGTGGAATCTTCTACAAGAATTCACAATGCGGTTTGTGGATTCATGTTGACTATGAGGCATGCCTGAAAAGCATAATTTATCATCAGATTTTAATCAAAATTCTCGAATTTTACAGGGATCGTCAAAGATATCTAGTTACCAGTCTGTATTCGAACAGTAAAGATTATCATATGCTCAAATTCTCACTAAAATCTAATCGTTGATTCTTTACTGTTAAAGCTACCACTATCCTCACTGACAGAAAAAAAAATCTACTTCTGTAATTCTTTACTTCTAATAATGCTCAAGCCCTAAAGATTGGTACTACTCCACAAACAACATGGCTGGTGTCACATTTATTGGGTTATTATTGAACGAATCTAAAATGTTTTGTGAACCTGACATATTCTTCGTCTCATAAACCAACCAAACAAGCACTTATGCAAACACATTTAAGTAACTACGTCAAAGATTGGCGTACACCATGCACTACCAGCTCTTCAATCAACCTAGTAATACTCTGCTGCGCAAACTTGCCCCAAATGATAAAAAAAAATCAATTTCTATTCGAAGCTGCATTCTGATGCTACATCGCTAGCTGAATCGCTAACCGCCATGACAGCACAGGCTACATCAAGCAAACACCTGCAACATATGTCTTGCCATTCTGGTAACTTCAGTAATAATTAACAGAGTCGAGTGTGATGAAGCATCTGCAGCTTAGCTTGGTGCTCCAACACCAACAGATAAAAGTTCCCATTGACTAGGAGCGCGATTGCAACAGAATTGTGCCAGATCATCAACACTGAAGTGATCCTACACCCGAACACCGCTAATCCCGCTCTACGCACTACGGGCGGCTCGGGGACAAAACCCAGGCCCCACAGCAGGTAGGTACCCGGTCGGGCACGAGCACGAGCACCTCCCGGACCAACAGGGAAAATTAAACCAGCAATTCACCTCGCGTCGGCGATTCGACGGCGAGCGGGCCCAGGCGGCGGAGAAGCCTCGCCGCCTCGCGCCGCGCCATGCCGTCCTCCGGCTTCGCCTCGGAGTTGAGAGGAAGGAGCGGAGCGGAGGGGGGGCGCTTGCGTTGCGTCTGGTGGAAAGTGGAGTACCAATGCCAACAGCCTGAGAGCAGTAGGCTGCCGCAGATGAGCGTCTGGGAGACGGACGAGTTGATGCTATGCCGTGGCAGAATTATCGGGACCAAAAAAAAAACAAAAAACACGCGCCTTCTGCACGTGTGCGTGTACTTTTTTTTTTTTTTTGAGAATCGTGTGCGTGTACTAGTTACCCGACCCGAAAAATTGACCCGACGCGACCGAAACCCAATCAGCACTAATCGGGCTTGCACATTGGGTGGTCATGGGCTGCAAATTTTGGCCCAGCTCGGGCAACCGGCGGAGAATTTGAGTTTTCTGTCAGGTTTCGGCATTGCTTTTCTAAAAAAAAAACCTCTACCCATTGCTTTTTGTCGGTTTTTTCACAGCCCGATCTAAAGGACTAGGACATTGCTAGTCTCCCGATGTCCCACGGATAGGATTCTGTCAGACGGTAACCTGGACACACTCTTACCGAATGGGCTAGCAAAATGGCCCATCAAAAAACGCCATTGCCCGACCCTGCCTTCGGTCGCTAGCCCGCCCGCCCGCGCCTGCCGATGCACGCTTTTTGCTGCTGCACGCGCACGTTCATCCCTGTTTGCCTCGTCTCACCCCGCACGCGTACCCACCCCTGTTCGCCTCGCCCCGCCCCATCCCGCCCCACGCCCGCGCCTGCTGCTTCTTCCCCCAATCCCCTCCCCTCTCTCCGCGTGGGCGAAACCCGAGAGATGGAATGAGGACAAGCACGCCCCGTCCGCAAGACAAACAAACACTGGCCCCAGCCTACGGCTAGAGCCCATGGTCGTTGGTCGACCCGGCGGCCCGACTTTGCACCAAGATTCAGTTATCAACAGTCCAAGTAGAGCATCAGGCAACAGAATCTCACGTCACGCTATGACAGATAAGAGAAGGCAAAAGTTGCCATGGCGAGATTATCTTCCAAGTACCAAGTTCAACATTTTAACAGAGAATACTCAGTAGCAACTCGGGCATGTTCGGCTGGTATTAAAACCGGCTCATAAATCGGCTGAAGCTGATTTGCTGTGAGAGAAAAATACTGTAGATTATAGCTGATAAGCCGGCTGATAAGTTCAAACGAACATGCCCTAAAACTGCGGCCGTTTTGGCACTGCCAAAATATAGTGAAATTCTCATAAATCATGTACTCATGTTTCTGCAAATAACTTACTTGCAGCGAATTGAAACAAATGCAAATCAAGGAGCTTCTCTGCAACTCATGTATGAATGCAGATATTTTATTTGAATCTACATGTGGCTTTCGCACAATTCTCTGCATTATTAATCGCGGCCGTATTTTCAGAAGCCAGAATATTCAGCGGTTCAGCCAACATATGGTCTTTTCTTCAGGCCTGCACGATCCCTTCCTCTGATTGTTCCTGCCTGAGCATTCATGCCTGCACAGTGCCACAAACCATCAGCTGGGTGCCATTATTTTTGAGAGAACTCATCATTTCTTTGCTCATCAAGCTGTTAGTTGCATCTTAGGCCGATATGCTCTCCAAAATATGTTATTATTATTATTATTATTATTATTATTATTATTATTATTAATTTTTTTAAAAAAACGTTATTATTCTGTAAGTCTGCTAAGGCGAAGACAGATTTATTCTATAGTTTTCATCATTCAACTAAACTTCGCTGAATGCATGCCAAGGAAGGGCATTAAGTGTTATTTTGTGATAGCACTGTAATTTTAAGGAAAACAGTGTAGCTTGTTGAAGCATGAACAGCATGCATATACATTAGCTGGGGCACCTTCAATGACAAGATACAACAGATTAAACCAACAATTCTCATGAAACATAACAAGACAAGATCAAATAATCAAACTTTTCTGGAATCAATGGGGCTGTTCGGCAGGACTGAAAAATAAGCCAAAATACTGTTCCGGCTGATTGTTGTGAGAGAAAAATACTGTTCTGTCTGGATGTGAACAGTGTTTCTGTGAGTGAGCTGGCCAGCCAGGCTCAGCCCAGCCAGCCAGCCGAACGCTCCGAATAACTGCATCACTTAATGACAAGGCATAGGATTGATGATTACACGTGACTATACTCGATCACGGATCTCCAATGTAGGGGATGTGTTCAACAATCCATCGATCGCATCCTTCTAACCTTGTTTTGAACTCTTCAGGCATCATCGAGCCGACGCACAGCTGTTGGAGTGATTTAAGGCCCTCTGGTACCGACGTCAAGCTTTTCAAGCCCCAGAGCTCTAGCCGACTCAAGGTTCTCAAGGTGCCGTCCTCAATCTCAACCTCCTTCAACTCACCCATGGAGCTCAAGTAGAGGTGCTTGAGCACAGGGAACCACCTGGCACGAAATGTCAGCCTCGTACCGTCATAGCACCGATACAGGTTAAGGTGGCCTAGACTCTGAAACATGACAGCAAGTAAAGCAAGTGGGGCCAAAACACCAAGCTGTGGCAATGTCGTTTGCCTAGGAACAACACCCCTGTTTACCTCTTTTGGTGTAATCTTACTTCCAACATGTAATCTCCTCCTCCTTCCTTAACTTGTAACCAGACAACTGTTTTTTGGGCTACGGTCCCTCCACCACCAAGGCAACTTCTGTGGAATGAAAGTCAGGTGGGGTTCATTCTGAACACCCCGTCGTTGACCTCTAAAAAAAAGTAAAGCAAGTGGGTCTTCATGGAGCCTAGAAAAGCAAAGCCGTAAGCTTTTCAGTTTGGGGAAGTGGCCCAACGGAGGAGGAATAGCTCCTTTATCTAGCCTGCCACTTAACATAAGCTTCTCCAGGTATGGTAACGGTTTCATGTCTGACAGATCTAGAATATCTCTGTCGCGATCAGCTGCAATCACAGACAACGAAGCCAAAGCTTTCATATTGCTTACTTAAGTCCACAAATCTGTGTTGTAGGATTCTAGCACCTTCCTAATGCCAAGGCTTCTCATCCTAGTCAAGCATCCAAGATTTCTAACAACGCAGCCGTTGGCTTCTATGTATTTCAGGGTCTGCAGATGTTCCTGGCGACATATTTTGTTACTTGCTGAACTTCCAAACCTTCCAACATCTATAATTAGGTGCTGAAGCTTTGTTAACATAGTTACTTCACTTGGCAACTCGAGTACAGAACCCTTGCGATACAGCGTTTTGATACGGCGTTGCCGCCGAGGAGTACGCAGAGGAGATTGGAGGAGTAGGCTGGACTGGGAATTGGAACGGAGGGGATAGCGAGACAAAGGTGCAGTGGGGACGTCGCCGGCGGCAGCGGCAGAAGCGCGCGCAGCCACCGTCGAAGAGGAACCCCACCTGCACGGTAGAGTTCTATTCTTCTTCGATACCTGATTACAGCATTCCTAGGACACCTTTATACTCCAGGTGTCTTCCTAACAAACCAAGACCCAAATCCTATAATTCCTCCTGATTTATTGCTTTCTAAAACAGATAGAGGCGCCTCAGCCACTAATGGCGCGCCTGGCCTTGCGCCGGTACTGCCTGCCTATGAAGGAGTCCACAACACGTTTGCAGATTGCTAAGCTTCCCAATAGATCTTGGTATCTCCTTGAGTAATGTATATCCCAAGTCAAGGTAATGCAAGTCAAACAAATTAGACACATTATCTGGTATTTTCTGAATATGGCAGTGTCTCAGGCTCAAGACCCTCAACAATCTAAAACTTGGATAACAGTCCCTAAACCAAGACAATGATACTTCCTCCACAAACACGATGATGGACCTGAGCTGTGCAGAAATTTTCACCGGCATCAGAATACCATCCTTCTGTACGGAAACTCGACGAGATCGATAGTCCCATGCAGTAGCAAACTTTTCCTTCTTGGATATTGTTAGAGTTATCTCCCTCACAAGGTCATGCATCTGAAACCTCTTTGGCCTTCCATATTCATTCCTGTCGACAACTTGAAGCAATGAACGGTCAGCTAGCTCCTTCAGGTAACATGTAGCTACATCTGCCAGTGTCATCTCAGCTCCTCTATCCTGAACAAATCCTTCAGCTATCCAGAGTCTGATTAGCTGTTTCCGTTCTATCTGATAGTCTTCAGGGAACAGACCACAGTAAAGAAAACAGTTCTTCAAGTAACTAGGGAGATCATTGTAACTAAGATTCAGAACACTAGCAACCCAGCTCAGCTCTGGGTTGCTACTCAGCTGCCACCTAAGTTGTCTATAGAACAATTCCCACTCATGCTCATCCATTTCTTTGTAGGATAGAAGACTCCCTAAAGCAACAAGAGCCAGTGGCAAACCTTGGCACTTACCTACAATTCTTTCAGCACAGGTCTTAAGGCTGATGGGGCAACTTCTATCATCTAATCTTGAGAAGACCTTTTGACAGAAAAGAGTCCATGCTTCCTCCTTCGGTAGTAAACAAAGCTTCATTTCACGGTTTGAATCAGCCACGGATGCCACAGCTTGGATTCGAGTCGTAATAATGATTCGGCTCCCGTTGTCATTCTTGACAAATGCACTATCTAGTAAAGGCCAAGAGTCCCTACTCCATACATCATCCAACACAATTAAGTATCTCCTGTCCTTAAGATATCTTCTAAGTAGTTCAACTAAATTCATGCAATCCATAGTGTCAAGCCCATCTGGAATATTCTCGCTTTTTGCCATAAGCAGCAGTAGGATTTTTTGGAGGAGATCTTTAGCCCTGTAACTTTGAGATACTGAGATCCATGCACGGCAGATAAACATTCTTTTAATTTCTTCCTTCTTGTAGATGCTACTAGCAATTGTTGTCTTACCTAATCCTTCCACATATGGAGATAACAGTGCGGTCTTTCCTCAAATCAGATAGCCATTCTGTTAAGCACTTATCCTCTTCCTTGTTCCCCACAAAATAAACATCATCATTCAGGTACGAGTGTTCAGACAGATGTTGGAGTCTGCTAGAATAACTCAATGAATTATCTCTCCTACTGTCGGCCACTGATACATCAAACCGGTTTTTTGTCTCAGTGATCTTTTTAAGACAATCCTCCACGAATTTAGCATGGGCTGCAAGCTTGCGCCATCTTTTAACCTCTGCTGCTTGTTTCAATGCTCTCTTTAGGAAACTGTTTGTTCCTTCCATTTGGCCAACAAGATAAATGTACTCGTCAACAATGTCCTCAGCTTCATGTGCCGCTTGTCTTACCTGTTCCAGCCAGGCCTCCAGTAACTTATCACTGGAACTACGAGCATCTACTTGACTTATGAATGCTTGCATCATCGACAAATCACTTTGGACCAGACTCATTCTGTGGATTACTTCTTGCATGTCAGGTACCTGCTTCTGTAACTTCGAACTGATAATTTTCAATCCCTCTTCTCCAAGTGCAGAGGTAATCTTTTGAAGAACCACTATGACCAAAGCTTCTGCCATTTTTACGTTTTTTTTTCTTGCAGAAACTGTTCCTAAGATTCAGCATTGGCGAGGTGCTTTCTTGTGGGCTTAATCCTGCAGGCAGAGAAATAACCATGCATAAATGTTACGGAAAGGAAGAATCACATCGCTGGACAGTGGACACTATGGAAACACCAGCCCCATTATTCTTGTAGCAAAATTCATGGTTTAAGCTTTGATCTGTTAACTTTTGCATTATCCTGTCCAAGGTATATTGTCTTCAATCCATTTCAAGTAGTCCCGGTTGAGATTGAGTTGAATGCATAATCAAATTTCAGATAAACAGATCGAAACAGCTGATTAGCCTCTATTGAAATCGAGTCCAATGTAATTTACTCATAGTGGCAACACAAACATCCCATTGCTGAGTCATGTGACAATAAAAAACCTAATTTTTCTACTATGTGTTTAGAAGAAGGGGATTGCTCTTGCTCTAAGAACATTGGAGGGTTACTCAAATTTAAGCTAAATCCTAAGGATTCGGATCCAAATCTCCCAATCCATTTCTTCAAAAGAAACAAAAAAAAATCCAAAAGGCTCCAGAGTAACTAGCAGCAGTGCAACCCCTCAAAAAAAGAAAAAAAAATAGCAGCAGTGCAAGACCTAAGGTACGCTCAAGATCTGACGTCGATTTCACCCATAAATACTGGCAGAGGAAACGAAGCAGAAACTGCATGATAGCATCCAGGAGCAAGAATGACGGCGAGGAAACACACCTTTGCTCAGTAGTCAGCAGGTTGCAGCTCGAGTTGAGCCCGTTCAGTACGGCGACAGCGAAGGCGTGGGCGTGCGGCTGTCCGGCGCGACGCGAGGCCAGTGGGACCAGCGCGCGGTGCGGCGAGGCGAGGCGTGGCAGTGGCACGGAAGCGGACCCAGCGTCGAGCGCGTTCGTGCCAGCCGCAGTTTTGGACCGCTAGCGTGAACACGAATTTCTTTGAATCTCTTTCTTCGTCATCAAATTTGTCCAGCTATGCCTTGTTAAATACTTAAACCTGACAAAGCATAATTTGGCCACCAATTTATTAGCCCGTAATTTCAATAAACATCACATAACTCAAAAATATAATTCAAAATGTGAGGGTATGTTACATTGAGCAAGACCAGTTCAATTAGCTCAAACTTTGAACTTTATTATTGTTCATTCATCCAAACTTAAACACATGCTGACTGACGCAAATATGCAACCACAGCCAATGGGCCAGGGTGGGTGTCCAATTTCATGCAACAGTTTTGCAAGTACCACACTAAGATGCTTGCATCACATAGAAGATTTCAATTCAAAAAAGTTCACATGACAATACAAAGTTTTTCCTGACAACTTACTAGTGACTGACTAGCCAGGTCCAGCTGCAGCTGCATGGAAGTACTATTGTTGGATCGATCATATGCAGAAGACCTGGGCCCTGTTCACTTGAACTTATCAGCCGCACCGTTTCAGCGAAATCACAGTGTTTTTCTTTCACAACAAATCAGCATCGGCATCAGTATCGGCCGTTTTTCCAGCCAGCCGGATAGGGTCCTAATGCCCAGAAGAAGCTTGATCACCTGATGCTGGCATTAGGATGCCATACAACTCTACACATACTCCAATAGTCCGACTGCCGATGCTACCACCACACAAATCCTAGTGTGCTCTAATACAACAATCTGATCAGGTTGCAAGCTATGTACACTGTTTGCCTGACATTAGAGGGACCCCTGAACCACAAACTGCGACGAACAATAAAATTACAGTTCTCAAACTTGGGAAGGTTTTTTTGTACAACCCAGCATGGATTTCATAAATTTAATCAGCAGGGCCATCACCTTCGCCGCCTTTTGGATTCCACCGGCTGAAGAGATCAGTTTAAGTTATATTATTATTATTAGAAGCATAATTACGATTTGCATTGTAGTTTTAAGTAGCAAAGCAAACTTAAATTAATGATAAGCAGCAACTAGCATCACGTGCAGCTAACCTTTTCTTCTGATTGCGCTGTAGCTTCATGTGAATTCTCAACCATCTTCCCATTTTCAGCTGTACAGGTCTGGCAGAAAAAATGTTCAAGTTTCTTTGCTTCTTTGATTGTCATCCCAATGCAAACAGGGTGAAACCTGAAAAAGAGAGTTGTTATAGAAAGTATACCAATACAGCCTCAAAGGGCACAAAGTGACTGAATACGTGTGCACAGGGCCATGAACCAATCAATGCTCAGATATAGTTCCAAATGGACCTTAAATCTTAATGGCAACACTTCCTATTGAAATATGTATGTGAATTGTGAAAGGCCTAAAAATTAAAATGCCACCCTGCTAACCTATCATGACCTGTAAACAATTTGAGAACACAACTCGTTGTAAGTGAACAGCAGTAAATACACTTTATTTTAGCAAATGAAAGAAGCTAAGAAATAGTGCTTTATGTATTTATTTTGACTATTTTGGTCCTCAGCGGGAGTACACTGTGAATATCATGTTACACACTTACACTACATAACCGTACAAATGTACGAAAGGAAAGTAATTCGTTTTTGGCCAGTACAGTATTCCTATCTCATGTCAATCTCAAACAAAAACAACAAATCCACCCATTCATATTCATACACCAATAAAGCAATCAATTGAATTAAACAATGCACCAGAGGAAAAGAGGTATAGCATGGTGTATTAAAAAAAAATTCTTAGGACAGCATGCTTCATCTATATGCTCACCAGTCAGAACATTCCTCACACTGGATCATAAGATCATCTGGATTGTATGGCATCTCACACTTGCAAAACCTGGCACATGTTTTACAAAAGAGATGAGAGAAATACAAAATGGTGATTCAGATTTAAGAACTATACAGAAACCAAACCTGCAAATTGGTAAAGGCAGCTAAAGGTTGACAACAAACAAGGACTTGGCTTATAATACATTGGAAGTAAAAAAAATCCATCTATGCCTTTCCAAAAACATAAAACATCACAACTTGAGAGAAGTTCTAGTAAAGTAAGCTCAAGCGTGAGGTGCAGCAAGTGAGCCAGCACATACATTGAGTAGCACAGGAGGAACATAGGTTGGAGTCCTCAGGGAGTTTTGAGTTTGGGCTAGCAGCCTAGCATTAGAAAATAGGGCTGAAGTTGTATCTAACCAGAATAGTTCAGGCACACAATTGTTCGGGTGAATTAAGGAACAAAATCAAGAGAGAATTAGGATTTAGGAAGTCTGGTCCATCTGGGAAAGGTTCAGAGTCTGCATCCATGATAGTTCCCTGTTTTCATCCAAGGTGGCAATGTTGTGTCATGGCCCACGAGACCCAACCATAAGAGCAGACAGCAAGGTTGAAAATAACAGAGTAATCTAGGAGTGAGGTCTCAAGGCACTAGATGATGCCTTAAGAACCTTGAGGTGTATCGCAAGAGTCCAGGAGGACTTCAATGTGGTTAGGAGCAACAGGTTCTGAGTTGATGACAGTTTGGGTTCATAGTAGTTCTAGGAATCAGGAAACCAAATGCTGTTATCAAAAGTTGGGGGTCTGCGTCCACAATACAAGGAAGCCATGCATCTATTCCAAAACCAAGCAAGAAATATCCTATCTTTCGACAGATATTCCCAAAATCTAATCTCTATCTGCCCCCCGCCCCCTTTAGTCCTTTACCATATTGTAATTGCCAGTAACTAACCGTGTGTTTGCTTAAAGGGTCCATGTAAGTTGGGATGGATCGGACCCATATTTATAAGTGTTTGTTTGAGGTCCCAGTGGGTTGGGTCCATCCCAAGAGGGAACATTCTCCCAAGATGAGAGTTGGTTCTATCCCTGCAAAACAAAGAAATCAGCACAACCTACTTCGCTTCATGCATTGTCTGCGCACGCATGCGATGCATCGGACACCAGCAACAAGCATCAGCGCAGCCCAATTGAAGGCAGCAGCATGAGCGAGGGGCGAGGAGGCGATGGCAAGGAGCACGGCGGGCAATGGCCACATCGGGCGGCACGCTGAGACATGTGAGCCTCGGTGGAAGCATCGCATCATGGGACAACTCATGACAGGAGCACGGCGCACCGGCAGCATGGGGAATGGCTGGGAGGCTTAGCAGCAACAAGAGCGGACAGAGATTCCGAGTGGCGGTGCGGGCGGACAGGGAGTTGCTCAGCTGGGGCGGTCGGTGAACTGTTGGGCAGTGTCGGGCTGGATGGAGAGTGGCTGTGGGGGAGTCTGAGCAAGCAGCTATATGGACGGGGGAGAAAGTAAGGAGCAGAGAACCCAACCTCCAAACCCATGAAATCGATACCTCTAACCAAACAAAAATCATATGATGAACCCAACCTCCAAACTAAACATGAAGTAGGTTGAACCCCTCCTAAAAAACAGGGTTGGGTCCATCCCATCACTCCTAATCCGCAAACTAAACCCATGCTAACTCCATGGCTTGCCTTTGAAATCAAACAAAGAGTGCTATTAGTGGAATAACTTGCTGCAAGGGCATTGTTTGGAATACTCCTGCTATTGTAAACACAGAACCAATAAGTCCTAGGTTGCAACCCACCCCCCAAACACACACACACAAAGGCCTAAAGAACATGTTTTGCATGACATGAGCCTTTGTGTGCCTCTATTATTCCCCCCAATAGTTAGCAATACCATCTACTGGAGAAGATGATTGGATTCCCATGTCCTTTAATTATTGCAAATGCATAGGAACACATACAAATGAATTACTCCTATTTAGTACAAAGAGATTCATGATGATGTAGTATCATACATGAAATTGAGTTATGGACTCATTAACCTTGGGAACGGACAGAAAATACCATTTCTAAAATAAAAGGCTCGTGTGGGGATATAGTCACAAAGTTCTCAGCTCGACGGGGTCAAGGAACGTGGAATGCTACTCGCGAGACATTTTCACATGGCAGGGTCGAATAACCCCAATACCCAAGTCGGGGATGATGTTCCCAGGTCGAGGGTCGATGCCTTCGACCCTGTTTTCTGTGACTATGGTGGGATCCTGGAAGAAACTTGTGAGAGTTATCTACAGGTGACATGATACTAAAATTAGGGCATATATCATCTACTTACTCCCTGCAATTCAAGTTACTCCCTCTGCCTTCGACCAATAATTACTCTAGTAGTACATAACCTTCTGACACAAACTTGATATATTATCATATTCAAAAGTACTTGATTATGACTATGATTATGCATCACAGATGTACCATATTAAGTGAGTAATTGTTAGTTAAATTCTCGTCCTAAGAAAAAAAAAAGGCCTTGCATTTGGAGACGCATTTTAGCGCTATCCATTTTTGACATGGTTTACTCCTATTAATTCTATAATTGTCTAACCCCAGTACCAATAAGCAATCCAATAGGGGCGCATGTAGGGGAAATTGCTGCTTTAAAAAACTAAAGCTAACTACCAGAAGCATAATCTAATCTTATGCTGGATTAGAGGTGGCAGGAGATAAACACATGGCACAAGCTAAAGGATCAGATTAGATGGAACTTGCTACAAATTGTAAATGCAACAAAAATTGCAAATCCAAAATAATGAAATTGCAAAAGTCTCAGTGTGTTCTTACACTGCTATGCGATCTGGTACGAAGCTGCCAGTAGCCGATTTATACTCAAAGCGGCAGAAGAAATCCTCAGCATTGACAGAATCAAGCTTTGTATAGCTACGGAAGCTGTGGACATTGCATTTCCCCTCAATGGTGTCAGCGCTTTGTACATCATAGTGGTCAGAGAGGAAGACCTCCTTGGAACCATGAAATGGCCGCCGGCCACCTATGGACTCCTCTGGTCGATAATACCACCGCACCCGCACTCTCACATTGGTGCCTCGGGATCCTGCTGCTTCAATTGCCTCAACTCTTGCCACATAAGGTGGTTTTGATGCATCAGAGGCCCTCATTAGCACGCAATCACCAGCTGGAAGAAACAATTTAAAGAATCTATCAAATCTGAAAGGCGTCTTATGCTGCTTCGCCAAAGCAACGAGAAAGCCTTATATAAACAAAAATACTCCATCCTTCACTTCTATAAGGTGTATTTTAGTTTGAAAAGGTCAGATTATAAGTGTGTTTGTTTTACAGAGGTATTCAAAGTTCTTCTATTATGATAATTGATTTTTTTTTTTTTGCAAGAAAAAAGAAAGGTCCAATCTATTTTTGAAGACCTCATACCAAAATTTGCCCAACGACAGTGGAAGGAGGAAGCGAGTACTGTATTACAAAAACATGATTGAGCTTTCTATCTAAAGCTGAAACGCAATAACAGAGCCAAGATACTAGTGAAATGTGGATAATCTAATCCAAGAGCACATCAGTCATGAACACAGCTTACTGCACTTTTAGGCCCTGTTTGGCATGGCTCCACTCCTAAACTCCAGCAACTCCATAAAAAAATCCAGCCAAACACCCCAACTCCAAAACTCCATGGAGCTACCAAGTCTATGGAGTTGTAGTGCAAATGGAGGTGGAGTTTTGGAGCACCTTTTTTGCTGCTCTATAACCCTCTCTTTTGAACCTCCTCGTGGAGTTGATGGGTAATTACCCACCAATGCCACTGGTTACACGAAAAAAACGTTTCGCTTCTATTCTCCGAGTCTCCCCCGTGCATCCCATTTTCCTAGTCCCGCGCCTCTCTCCGTCCTGACTCTTCTCGCGAGAACGGCGCGGTTAGGGTTTCCGCCGCCGCCAGTGCAGGCGGCCGGCCGCCATCCACACCATTGCCGCCAGGCCCAGGCCTCGCGACCCGGGCCACCCTAGGCCTTGTTGGTCTCCTAGCCCACTTGCCGCCCGCCACGTCAAGACGAGGCCCGCACCTGCGCCAGAAGCCCGACGCTGCTGACCTCCCGCAATGGGAGAGATCCCGGCCATAGCTCCCCACCGCAGCAGAGGCCCGTCGCTGGTCTCCTAGCCCCGCCCCGCCGCCTAGCTCCGCCTCCCACCACGTCTGCACGAGGCCCACAGCCTGCCGCAGAAGCCCCGCCGCCGGAGATCCCCCGCCGGCCGTAGCTCCCGACCGACGGCCGCAGAGGCCCGCCAAAAGTCGTCCGGAGATCCCCCGCCGCCGTTCACAAGGTATGGTGCCTGCTGGTCTCCTAGCCCCGCTGGCCGCAGCTGCCGTTCGATGCTCTGTTCTTTCTATCGGTGCCTTTTGGCTGCCGTTCGATGCTCTGTTTGCTGAAATTATTGCCGTTCAATGCTACAGATTTGTCATATGCAATTACATGATCGATGCGTTATTGTAGCAACTGAAGTGTGCACTAGCTTCTGTAGCATTAGAGTCTTGTTTGCTGAAATTAGCCAGTTGGATAGATTAGAGTCTTGGTAATAGAAATTAGGTAACTTGCCTTCTAATATGAAATTTGTGAGTTCGATAGATGCCTGAAATTGATTGGAACTCGGAGAACACTCGAGTGCTGTGTATGTTGTTTGCCGAACAAGTTGGAAAAGGAAATCGGCCAAACACACACTTGAATGCACTTGGTTATACTGAGGTTGAGAAAGGGTTCAAAGAAAAGACTGGAATTGTGGCTACCAAGGTTCAGATCAAGAACAAATGGGACAAGTTGAAGGAAGATTTCAAGGCATGGAAGAAACTAATGCTGAGGCAAACAGGGACTGGTTGGGATCCTATAAAGAAGACTATTGCTATGGATGATGAATGGTGGAAAAAAGCTAGAGATGTAAGTTAGTTCAAGATTTTTGCTATATTTGTTTTCCATATGACAAATCTGTTGGTAATACTTATACTAATGTGTTGTTCTGCTTATTTCAGGACATTCCGGGTTGTGGAAAGTTCAAAAAGAAGGGCCTTGAGAATGAAGATGACTTAGCCAAGTGTTTTGCTGACATCACTACTATTAGTATTGATCATTGGTCTCCTCATGTTGTGAATGTTGAAGCAACCGAAAATGTTGATGAGACACAAGATGAGGCAACCAATTTTGAGCCACAAGATGATGATTCCATTCCTGGAACACAAGAGGAGGATATTGGTATTTCTCCTCCACCTGCAAGTGGCAAGAGATTGGCTAGGCCTGTTGAAAGAAGTGGCAAGAAGGTGAAGTCTGGAAATGCACTCCTAATTCAAGAAGCAGTAACAAGTATGGCAAGTTCAGCCAATGAATATGTTTCGAAGAGACATGGAAAATACTCTACTGATGAAGTGATGGAGGTTGTGATTGCTTGTGGGGCCGGCTATGATAGCAATGAACATTACATTGCGTCTGAAATGTTTGTGAAGGAGCAAAGGGAGATGTTCATGACCTTGCCTACTAATGAGATTAGGTTCAATTGGCTTAGTTGGAAGTACAATGATAAATATGAAAAGTAGAAATGGTAGTGAGAGTGATGTCATTTATGTATGCTACATTTTATTTTTGTCGCATGTATGCTACATTTTATTTTCTTGTAGTTCATTTATGTATGGCATTTGTATCTTACATTTCATTTATATCAATGTTCACAGATGTCTTCAAGTGAGTCTGATGATTCTAGTGCTGGGATTTTTTTTTAAATGGTTGAGAGCAGTGCAAAACTAACACAAAGTTATCATGACTTGTATATGGACAAGGCACCGCCGAGGTTCGTGTTTTCACAACAAAGTGGAATGGGATGGCTGATGAAGACGGTAAACACTCTAGGGGAGTGTCATCGAATACTTCGGATGAATGAGGTTATTTTTCATGATCTTCATGATGTGTTGGTTGAGAGGTACGGATTAAAACCATCGAAACACATGAATACATATGAAATGTTGGCTATTTTCCTATTCACATGTGGTGGGTGTGAGTCAAATAGAAGAGGACAAAATAAGTTCAAACACTTAGGTGAAACCATTAGTAGAAAATTTTATGAAATTCTAGATTGTGTGGTTGCCATGGCACAAGATTTCTTGAGACCAACAGATCCTAATTTTCGCAATGTGCACAAGAGGATTAGGAATAACAAGAGAGCATATCCACATTTTAAGGATTGTATTGGTGCACTTGATGGAGCCCATATTCGTGTGTTTTTATCACCTGAAGAACAAGTGAGATATATTAGTAAGACTGGAATTGCAACTCAAAATGTGCTTGCTGTTTGTGATTTTGATATGCGCTTCACGTATGTGGCTGTGGGTCAACCGGGTTCTTTGCATGACACTAGTGTATTGTACCATGCATTGGAAGCAGATGTAGATGTCTTCCCACGTCCTCCTCAAGGTAAATATTTTTGCTTACGTTCTTTTTCATATTTGGGTCTGTTCGCTGGTTGGTGCTGGTGCTGGTTTGGACTGGCTGGTGCTGGTTTTTTGTGAGAGGAAAACACTGTTGGCTGGCTGGTTTGGGCTGGCTGAAACCAACAAGCGAACAGGCTGTTTGTATGCACAAACTTATCTTGTTTTACATATGTGTAGGCAAGTACTATGTTGTAGATGCGGGCTATCCAAATCGTTCGGGGTACCTAGCTCCATACAAGGGTGAAAGATACCACTTACCCGAATGGCATCGAGGTATGGAACCAAATACTCCAAAAGAGAAGTTCAACCGTATACACTCATCTGTTCATAATGTTATTGAGCACTCATTTGAAGTATTAAAAATGAAATGGCAAATCTTTTACAAGATGTCAGGTTATCCAATGGTGTACTTTCATTTCATATTTGTGAGAAATAGTTCAAGTCAAACCAGGGGCAAGAATGGCAATCTACCCTCAAACTCATCTTTTCTAGAGCTGGGGACACCCTCCCAGCCAAACACCCTCATCAGACAGCTCCAACTCCACCTGGAGTTCTGGAGTGGAGCAGCTCCACTTAGAGTTGAAGTCATGCCAAAACATGGCCTTATTTTTAATTCTATTTTGTATAAATCGAGCTCGTTCATACACAGATGCCAATGCGATGTGAACACATCCACAAATACCTACAAGACTGAACATTCCAACAAGCTGAGTTCACGTTAACGAACTTGGTATAGAAAAAAAAAGGTTTCAAGTGACCAGAGCATAGCATGGTACTGTAATAAGCACCGCGATGCTAACCCCCCTCGAAGATTACGCCTTCACAGTGCTAACTGAATTCAAGCCCCAATTAGACACGAAGTTGGCAGCAGTGAACAATAAACGGTCAAATTTCAACCATAGTAAAGGCATAAATGGCCCAAAAAAACAACAGAGCGCCCGATTATTGCAAAAACATTTCCGACGAAATCAATCGACCCCAAAGTAAAGGCAACCCCCGAATCCCAGGACCCGGAAACCGAGACACCCGACACATATCCCGAAATACGCCACAGGCCACCAAAAATCCCCCAAAACCCCCCGTAAATTCCGGATCGAACAGGGCAAAGGGGGCACTCACGCTTGATGACTTTGTCCGAGCCCTTGATGGTATAGGACTCGAGGATCCGCTTGGGCGGCCGCGACTTCGCCATGGGGGGCGAGACCGCGACGGCGAAGGTGGGGGCGGAGGACCAGGGGCGGGGGCGCGGGCGCTAGGGTTTGGCGAGGAGACCACACGAAGACGGTGGTGGATTTTTTTTATTTTTCTCGATCTCCCTCTGTTTTCCTTTCCCCCTTTGGTTCGAAATGCGGAGGCGCTCGCGGTCGCCGCTCACTCGCCTGCTGCTGCTTTTTTTACCGCCTCCTTCGCCGCGCGCTTTTCGCGTGCACCGCTTTGATGGCCTGTGGTGATGGGAGTGATGGTAGCAGTAAAAGCTGGCCAGCTGACGACTGGCGCGCGGTGAAAAACTGCCGCGAAGGGCTCGGGGGCGAGATCGGCCGTTGGGTGAACCGTGGGGTGCATCGTGTCCGTTGGTTGGGTGGCGAAGGAACGAGGAGGCGCTTCGCCTTCTGGTTCTGGGTGGTCCGAAACGGATCTGGAAGTGGAGGCTGATTGTGCTTTGTACGGGGCGGGACGAGTGGACGACGGATACGGGCGGCTAGGGCCGTACTAACGCCGTAGCGGAGGACAGTTGGACACTCTGAGTGCCTGCCATTTAATCGGGGGTGGTATTATGACACGTAATTTCAAGATTCGTTGCTACTAGGCCTCATGGATGGTGGAATTTGTTTGGATTTTCTTGTGAAAATAAAATGATTTTTATAAAGTTTTTATATAATTTCTATTATATTTCTGCATTCCAAAGAAAACTTAGTATTCTTCTCTGTATAACTCTACCTCGATTCTCATGAGTCCACGGTGTCGGGCCACACCGAGTCGCATGTGCATCTCTTATATACCCCCTATTTTAATCGCTCGCTTCTCATATGATAGTATAGTGACATAATGCAGCTAATCGACTGCCATAGCCGCTCCACATCATTGCTTCGATCTTCTACCATAACTAGAATAGTGGCCCAGGCAGGTGTAGGCCTAACTTCAACCTCGGAAAACCCAATTTGATGCTTGACTTTTCTGGGTCCACACTAAACAAAAAATCTGAAAAGCAAAATTGAGAAAAGAAAAATCACCTGTAATAGGGATGCCACATAGGCGTGCAACCTTTGGGGCTGGCTCGCCGGAGATGCCACCACTGGCCGCGGATCTCATCCTTCTGCTCCTCCGCACCGGCTCAATGCCATGGTCGCTGGAGCCATGGCCGATGTCGCTCAACAACCTATACTTCTTCCGTGAAACTAAAGCAAGAGACAAATCAGCATTGTCAAGAAGTCGCTCGATGGAGCCACGCACAAGCTGAAGGTGCAGGCTTGGCCCTATAAGGAGATTTCGATGGTGTTACCTTCTCTTTGCGGTGATGCGCGCCAATCGCTGTCGCTTGTATCGCTCATGTTTGCGCCGCCGCTACTGCATATGGAAAGAAAGGGGAAAATGAATTTAGGGTTTGGGGAGACAGCTACAACACAGTTTTATTGTGTACAAGTGTTTTCTCAGACGTCGGATATGTCTCAATGGTTCAGATTGCATGGGGTGTAACGGGCTGAGAGGCCATGTGGAGGGGTATCTCTTTCTTGGCTCGAGGCCTGTGTCCCTATTGGCAAGTCTATGGCTGCGTGTCCACGACACAAATTTAATGAAGGCAACGATGTCGTGGTCTCTAGCCTTAGTCAAAGGCCTTCCCAAGTGCTTACTCCCTCTGTCTCGCTTTAAATGTCGTCCTAGCTTTCTACTTGCTACATGCTAGATTCCCTCAATCTAGACATACCTTGCGTCCAGATACATGCAACATGCTATGAACTTAGACAGCCAAAAGCACTACTAGGACGACACATATAATGGGACAGAGGGAGTAACAAAATACTCAACAACAACAACATCATGATGAATTGGTGGCCATCGATGCCAACCTTACATCTTGACCTTTGATATGCTCACCACCTTAGCGGTCCAGTCATGTTGTTCATCGTTTTGAGAGAATTCCCTCTATGACACCACAAGGTAGCCCAATTCCCTCCATGGCGCTAAAAGTTTAATCATGATGTGGGAGGTACAACCCTGGGTACCCACGGCGTAACACATGGGCCACACCATCAGGGACGGTCCAGCCCACCAAATAAGGACTTGCGGAGGCACGACACTGCTCAGTGCACACCGCAAGACATCAAGGCGATATCCCAAAGATAGCGATCAATCTGTTAGGATATGTCAAATATCAGATTCCTTCTAAAAGATTGTTACTTGCCCGATTAGACTTAGATCTGACCAACCTATAACCCTACCCCCCATCTATATAAGGCGGGTAGGGGATCCCCTCAAAACACATTCAATCTCATATATCCAGCAATACAAACCAACAGAACACAGGACTAGGGTATTATGTTTAGCTGACAACCTAAACCTGTCTAATCTTGTGTCTGTTGCCATCTAGTTCCTATTCACGCGCACCTCTCCATACAATCTAGCCTCGTGGGCATACCCCTCGGTGGATTGTCGATGATATTCTGTTGACAGTTGGCGCGCCAGGTACGAGTGTGCGTGCTGCTCCCATGGCGAGCCAGATGGTACGTCTTCCAAGCTCTCCATTCTCGCCCAGGCCTGGCCAGTCCTTCACGGTCGGATCCATCTCCTGGGTCATCAATGCCAGCGGCAACGGGGAGATCGTCAAGCCAGTGCAGGATAATCCTGCGTCGGTCATGCCTACACCTACACTAGCAGATCTGATCTCGAAACCTATTTCGGGGTCATCTTCCTCGCCGAGAGCTCACCGCTCGGTGCCACATCGGCCGAGGAAGCCCATTGATCAAGACGACTTGATCGCGTCTATAGATCGGGTCGACAAAAGCTTAGCTGAGTGCTTGTCGCTCGTAGAATCTGTCTTAGATCGATCTGCTTACGACGACGAGTTCCCACCACTCTAGCACTTCTGGGCGGTTGGCGCTAAGCGCTCTGCTCGTTCGCGCCGTTCAAGGTGGCAAGACGCAGATCTAATCATCATGGCAACTCCGAAGGGGCGTACAGTCCAGCGCCGACCACTCTCCAGATCTGATCTGCCTAGGGATGATCGAGAAGCCTCAGCGGCGGACATCGTCGTGGCCCATCCTTTTGGGCTAGCTAATGCGGCCACCATCTATCAGGAGGCCATGCGAGATCGCTACGCCGACTAGATCGGTCGCATCCACCCGCTCACCGAGCCTGATCTGCCTAAGGTCGGTCGGGAAGCCCCAGCAGAGGACATCGTCGTGGCCCATCCTTTTGGGCTAGCCAATGCAGCCACCGCCTATCAGGAGGCCATGCGAGATCGCTACGCCGACCAGATCGGTCGCATCCACCCGCTCACCGAGCCTGCTCTACCTAAGGCCGATCAGTTTGCACCAGCAATCAACATGGTGCACATCCACTAGCTCGGTGAAGATCCCCTACTCCCCTGGAGGAAGATCCAGGGGCAGAATCGGAAGGCTCCACCAAGACCGTCACCCGCACTCCAACTCTGGCCAGGTGTTTCACTAGGGAGCTTTTCATGGTTTGCCATGATAGCACCGTCCGGGATGGAGAGATCAATTCCCGGTAGCGTCGCTCGAAAGCGAGGAACGCCGACCACCCGCCAGCGCCGTGCCAGACCGAAAGCAAATGCGGTTGCCGTCGCATTGCCAGTGAGGAACGCGGTCCACTCACAAGGAAATTTGTGTGTCGCTCGCAATCTTGATCTCGAGTTCCTCCAAGTCGACAGACATGATGTCTAGCAGATCTGAGCGCCAACCTCGCCAGAAGCGCCAATGAGTGGCTAGACTCCGGCATATGTCGAAGATTGCCAAGGTCACTACGTTACTTAAAAGCGGCCCAAGTTCAAGTCAATGACTTTCGCAAAGACCAGGCTCCTTCTCACTCGACCGCGTCGAATTATCGTCGCTCTGCAAGTCGGCAACCCCCCGTTCCAATCATGCGGGAGGAAGTCGTTTCTCCGATCAATGGCGACAGAATCGGCACCAGGCGGTGGCTCGTATCTCCAAGGGGTCCAAAAGGCAATTATGAGGTCAACCCTAATCGGCAGCCGCAGCCGCCCAATCCTCGCCAACGCTAATCAAGAAGTCAATCAACTTTGGTGGCGATGTTCGCGGGCATCTCAACAACCTCCACGACGTGTGGAACCGCAATTCACGCCATGAGCAGGAACCTGGTTTGTACTCTGCATTTTCCTTAAGTTGAAGTTCATACATTTTATTTTATATAAGTAGCAGTTATCAATAAAGACACGACAATACCCTAGCGCGCTATGGGGTAGACTAAGCGATGAAAACAAGTAGGGTAGATATCGTTGGGTGGCAATGACAACCACCCTCACCTTCCAATAACATCTCAAATCGTACACGGTGGGTAGTGCACGGCTCATATCTTCCCTTGCAGTAAACTTATATCACTTTATATGTGGGGTGTATGCTTAATTAGTCATGAGAGGATATGTTTGCGCTATGGGTCAACTCCTTTTCCAACAATGTATGCACAAGTTCAGCTTGAGGATAAAATAAAAATAGCAGCAAACTTCTATATTCATTAATCGACACCCCATGTGTGTGTGTCTCTCTCTCTCTCTCTCTCTCTCTATATATATATATATATATATATATATATAGTCTTTACTCTTTGCATCTTCTTTATTATCAGCCTGTTTGGTTGGCTGGTTCGTATCGTTGCTGGTTCGTGAAGAAGTACTGCCGGCTGGTTTGTGTGAGAGAAAAATATTATTCCGGCTGAAAATTTACGATCGTTTACGATAAGCCACAGCCAAACGAACAGGCTGTATGTGGGGGGGGTGTTCATGCATGTTATCAATATAGAAAACACGACAATACCCTAATGCGTTACTACTACAAAGAAGTCTTTGAGTGGCAATGGCAACCACCCTCACCTTCCAATGATATATCTGGAAAAGGTACATGGGTAGTGCACGATTATAAAGTCTTCATACTTCCCCTGCTACAAACTTACACGTCAGGGGGGTATGTGTCAAGTTAAAGTACAAAGAGCCTAAAAAGAAATTTAAAGTACAAAGGATTTTGAGAAGCTATAGCTAGAAATTTAAAGTACAAAGGATTTTGAAGCCCGGTTTGTCTCATTAAGACAAATATTTATCTAGTTGTAGTTGTAGGCAATGTGTGCCTTGATAACGAGGTTCCCAGAGGATGATGATTTCATCGACCTCAAGACTTACTAGCCTATGATCTATCGTAATTTTTTATACTATGTTTGTTAAAGTACAAAGTATTCTTAATTTCTTACTCCCCAATCACATCTCATGCATACAGTGGTACGGAGAATAGTTATTTTTCTAAGAACATCATGACAAAGTATGACAATTAATTCATAAATAAAAAATAGGAACTTAGAAATTATATTTGAACTATTAAAAAAAGAAAAATTAGCTATAGTAGTAGCAAAAATAGCCATACATTTCTTTTTGAAAAATAATCAAAATACACAAACAGATATTGGCCAAAAGTTTTCCCATACATCGACTATACTCGATTCACGTATGGTATAATCTGTGGTTGGTGAAGTACCATATATTTTTTGAATTGAATTCAGAAGAGGTACCGATTATATTAAAAATACAGAAATGATATAAAACACACATGTGTTTTAGAAAAAAAAACACATAAATTTTCTCTCTCTTTTCCCTCCTGACGCCGCGCAATGCACGCACGCATCCAATCCCGCCCGCTCCGTCGCTATGTCCGGACTGCCAACTGCCAATGCAACTGCGATCTGACTGCCAACTGCGATCGAGTGGCCAGTCGCAGCGAAGCGATCGAAGTGAATCCGGCTCCAGTATGCCTTTCCTTCTCTCCCTCTACGATTTGTGATTTTGTCCTTTCATAGAAAAAAAAAATTGTTTCTCGTGATCTGTGGATCTGTGATATTATGATTTGTGATTGTCTAAAGATAGAAGAAGACCGGAGGCTGTTGGATCTTAATTCCAAGGTACAAAAAAATTTATATGTTGAAACTGCATAAAATACATGGTTGTTCAGTAGAGAGGCAAAAAAAAATAAGAAGAAGAGAAAGCTCGGACACAACGAATGAGTGATCACCCCAAATTAAAGAGTCAACAATTATGCATGGTAGAGCAACAAAACTAAAGAACTAGCTAGCACAGCTACTGGAAGCAACTGTCAACAACACAAGAGAGCCACTTGGAAACGGTCTCTGAACACGGTGCACAACACCGTCTTGGCACTCCACGAGCCCCGTACCAACACCAACCGGTTGAAGCAGGATTTTTTCTGTCGCAGGGATTTTGCACCACGGCGGCCGACCGGCCGTCGACAAGCACACCGGTGAGCGCGATGACGTCCCGACCCGACCAACAGGCCGGCACACCGACACACCGTAGATC